CCTCGAGTTCATCGAGTGATCACATGCGAGTTCAGGGTCGGACGCGATGTTCTCCGTGTCTTTTATCTCGGCTCGGCCGAACGTGTGCACGCCTAAAAAGGAATGCGCGTGCAAAAATGTATGCAACGGAAGAGTTTTGCATGTCCCAAAAGTATAGATAACAAAAGGTTCGCGCGTCCGAATGTGTGCGCAGGAAGAGCGTCGAGAGCGCGTGCACAAAAGTTTAAATCCCGACCGTGGGACGCCTAAAAAGGAATACTCCTCTCGCGTGACATTGCTCTCTCGCGACCATGCGCGGATTTTACATACACGCGTCATTACGCAAAAGTCCCGCGAGACCGTGACTTCCCGGTTATTTGCTACCTTTCACCGATATAGTATCATGGGCGTACCCCAAGAGAGGGTTTGGGGAGTTCAACTTCTTTCTCACAATTAAAAAAAAAAAGTTAAACTTATGAGTTACAAAACCTAACATTTTTCTCATTCAAAATCAGAAAGAAGACGTTTTAAACTCTAAAATGACAGAATTGATAATTTCCCCTCCTTTCCCTTTTCCTCTCTCTTCTCCGACAAAAAATCCTGGATATGTCCATGTATATAGTATAAATATTCGTTTCGCGGACAGGAACATGACGGATGTGAGAAAAATCTAAGCTACTTCGCTCCGCGAACGGCGGAACGGTGAAATTCTCTACCGTTATCACGTACTTTTTTCGACAGTTCACGAGACGTAAAGTTCATTAACATCGACGGATCGCCGAGATATCAAGTCAGAATGAAGAATGAAGAACAACGACAATCGAAATCGGTCGAAATCGAATTGTTATCGGTCGATATGTTATTGTGATTCGGAACAAAGTAATTTAATTGTTGAATATTTTTTTTTCTAAGAAGAAAGTATACTTAACAAATGTTTCACTAGTCCAACTAAAATTCTAAATGTTACAATGTTAAAATATACTTTTTTTGTATCTGCTAGAAAATTATCTGTCATAGAATTTATAGCAGCAACATTTAATAGCAATAGTCACATCCCTTGTAAAAGAGACTATATGATTTAATCATAAGACCTAAATTTTCTTGTATATATATATATTAGAATGTTGCTATAAATTATATATATATATATATATGACAGACAATTTTCTAGCAGATATAAAAGTAACGATACATTTTAACATTTACAATTCTGGTTGGACCAGTAAAATATTTTTTTGAGTAAAGTATATAAATCTGTTGCAAAATGCATCAATAAGTAGTTCTCAGTAGACAATAAGTCTAATTATTTGCTAGTAATAATTTCTAATATAATTGACATAATAAATGAAAGAATACACGAAGAACGATTTAAACTGAAGAAGTTAAAAATTCAGTTAAATACAAATCCGAACATAATTATTGAGCCATTAAAATAATTATGTAAGAAATTAATTGCTAAAATATAAGAATATAATATTTTGTAGTATTATCATCATATTTAAGCGTCTGTATATAATAATTTTGATAGTCTAACAAAATTGCTTTCAAATTTGTATCTAATTAAATTTTTAGATATTTTAGCAAAACTATTCTTTCCATGTAGAAAAGAGAATATTTGAAATAAAAAACGTAAGAGTTCTTTTCACATTCATTCGTTTTTTTTATTTACATGGCAGAGAATGGTGTAAATACATTTCAATGATAGAATTACGGAAATGCTCAGACTGAAGTATCAACTCGTCACAAGTTAACAGCGGAGAACAATAATGTCCGTGGATATCGACGTAGGTAAATTCGCGCGACCTTCTCGCTCAAGGATCGCGATCTGTTCGTGTCTCCTCTCTTTCTTTCTCTATCGTCGTCAGGCACAATGAAAGCATCCGCTGGTATTCATTGGAATTGTTATTTATCAGGCATATACAGAAATGAACAAAGGTTTAAATCACGAGGTTTCACACTGCGGAACCGAGTCAATTCTCCGAGAATTAACGTAGTTTGGTAAAAAAAAAAGTCCTTTCAATATAACGAAGGTACAATTACTTCGAGATGCTTTGGAGCAAGCTGGCAAATGCGTATGGTTCACTATCTCTCCGTTGTCTTTCCCGTTTGCAAAGTAAAATCTCTCCCGTATTTTTCCATCGCGGGGATACACGCGAGTGCGTGCGTGGCAGGCTCGTTTAGGGCGATGCATGATTTATGAGCGCAACGAGCAGCGAGCGTAGGAGGGACCGCTCGTCCGAGCGCGGGATAAGAAGTCGTAGGTGCACTTCCGGTGCGGCGCCGCGTCGCAACTAACATGCGTAATTACGTGGATCGTGACGACTGTTATCGGGGCTCGGTCCATGCTCGCTCGCTCGTCCGCGGGACTATCGCGTGCACGTGCAATACGTAACAACGTAGACGCATTGTTGCGCTGCATGGATTAATTACGAGCGGCTGGGACGCCGATCAATCTGTCGTAAATTGCGAAAAGTGACCGAGCGGATATCCAAGGAGCGAGCGAAGCGAGAAATGAACGAGTCGAATTTACCACTCTCCGGATAAAAAGTAAAATAAACAGCTTTGAATGTAAAGGTAAAATGTAATCGAGCTGAATATATCTGTGTGAATGATTAACAAATTAAATATAATAATAGGATAAGTGGTATTGCTTGAGAGACAGGATCTTTGTGTCTAATAATTTTTTTCTTTGTTGCATTTATATTTTGATAAATTCAAATTCAAATTCAAATTTAAATATAATATTTCTTTCTCTTGTGCTAAGCAGAATTTTGTATGGCGAAGCGAGATATATCATCACGCTTAAGTGCAGTATTATATTCTTATATAACAATTTTGATGGCCCGACAAAATTATTCTCAAATTTGTTGTATTTAGTCAAATTTTTAAATATTTCAGCAAAATTATTCTCTTCGTGATAGAAACGTAGGAAGAAACATGTAATCAGAGAACAAATAGACTCGGACAACACGTTTCGCGGACAGCACGTCGCGTGCAATTAACTGGAATCCGATTTTCCCGCGAATTAGGTCGCTGCAAGAAACATTTCAGCTGTTATCGAGATTTCGCCTCTGGTGAAAATCAGAATCCGTTTCGATATGTAAAGTGATAATTTGATAAATTTTAAAATTAAATAGTTGCAATTTTAAAAATGAATTTGATTATTCATGTAACATAAATTGCACGTTGAACATTTTTGCAGAAGAAATTCATCATTTTTATGAGCACAAAAATAATATACATAATTTTTATAAAAATAAATATTACGAATAAAAAGAATGGTTTGTCGAAATATCTAAAAATTTGGTCAAATATGCAGATTTAAAAATAATTTTAATAGGTCAGCAGAATTATTACGTGGAACGCTTAAGCATGATGATAATGTTACAAAAATTTTTTTATATTCTAATAACCAATATAAAATGTTGTATATTATATTTTGATGAGTCAACAAAATAATTTTCTGACATCTACAATATATCCGACTAAATTTTTAAATACTTCATCAAAACTTCTTTTTATGCGAATAAGACGAAATCTTGTTAATTGCGCGGATCACAATGATGTATGTTGAAAGATCTCGACATGGGTGGTCTTTCTACGAAAGGAAATTATCTGAAATTCTTCGAAAGCACAATTACAGTTATCAGTTAACGCGTATTCAAGAGTTTTCAAAGTATCTCGATCATTGTGTAAATTAAAATCGTCGTCATTTTTTGAAACCATTCATTATAATTACCAAATCGTACAACCAGCCGAATTGCTGATCTTTTTTATAAATTGAATATCTTTTCGGATGAATTTGTATATTCTTTTGCATTACGTACTCATAAAAACTACATATTTCTTCTATGATATATAATTTTATTCAATCTGTCTAATCATTGCAAAATTTATTTCCAGCAACTTTTTGATTGTCATCCCGCACATACATACATATTTATTACTTGTTACAGTGTGCGTAGGAGAGAGATTGAAAGGAGAAAGATCGTGAAACTTAAGTACAAAAAAATGGTAAAACGAAAGCCTTCCGTCGTAAAACATAATAGACAGACCTTTCAAGGAAGTTAAGAATCAAGTATGATTGGAAATCGCAGAATCTCAAGATCATCGCTGGTTTCCGCGAAGAAAAAAAACTAATTCGAATATATTACCATATAAATAAATATAAACGTAAAGCGCAAAGTCATCCGAATCACGGAGCGTGATTGGTTGCTTTTCTCTATTGACAGTCCAGTCTATGAACACGCCAAGAAAAGGTAGAAGGAAAATGACCGTCTATGATTGTCAAAACATGATTGAAGCAACATCTATCGCCTGTATTACACGTCACCGCGAATCGCCGCGCGATCGACCTATAAAAGGCATCACATCGAAGATTCACGTGTGATTTGAACGAGAGTTCCCGAACGAGGCGGTTCTCGTTCCGAGAGAGGAGACTCTCATAGAATTCGCGACGTCGTTATACCTTGTCGGTATAAACATCCAGAAGACTGATTGCAAATCTTGAAGCGAGGTGAAAATTATATAAAAAATTAATTAAAGTGAGGAAATTTACTAGCTTTTGATAATTGCAGAGTCAATTTCTTCATTTTGTGATTTTCACTTCGTTTCCAAATACCCAAGTGACTCTCAGGAATGGTGGGCAAATCTGTCATCGCGTTTAAAGGGAAAACTGAGAAGGGTGTCGCTTGAGTTTCCTCGGGATGAGGAGGTAAAGGACGAAAACCATAACCCCGAAAGCGTGATTCCGCCAAGCGTGACGCAAGAACGGAGCGTTGAGACGCAACAATTGTCAACGCGACGAATATGTCAACATGCCCAATTTAAAAACCACACATCTGCGCTTTCGGAAAATTCGGAATGTCAGGGCTCGGACACGTGTGACCGACGATTCGGTCGCTCGGTCGATTGGTAGGTCGGTCGCGAGGGGGCACAAGATGGCGGTAGTTTTTCTTATAATTTTTTTTTTCGCACAAAAGGAGAAATGGGGAGATTTGCGACTCCGATCTCAGACTTACCTGCAGACCCGCATTCGCGTCGTCGATTATCTTGTCCGTTTCCATGTTGATCATCCTACTCGTCCGTTACGTCCGAGTCCGCACGCGCCGAGGTAGGTAGCGTGGATGTAGGCGAGACGACGGGATCGTGCCACGCGAGAATGGCTGGGGCCGCGCGACGGTGTGCCGCGTCGAATGAGAAATAGACAGACACTAACGATGAAACTGGACTTGCGTTGAACGCAAATGACGAAATATCACGCGGACGGTACTCCCGCTCGCTACGAGGCCTCGCCGCGCATTGCAGGGAGCCGATAGGGCAACATTTCTCTGTCTTCACAGAGGACACAAAACAACACGCGCGTACAACTATGTCACTCAGTGGCGCGCGCGTATGTGCGTGCGTGCGTGCGTGTCGAACATCCGTGACGCGCGCTCCAACACGATCCTCCTTTCCTACGTTCGGAGATACAGGATACTGCGGTTTCGCGCGATATCACTGATACGACGCGGTTCACCTTTCCTCCTCGATGGTCAAGGGACAGGGAGGGAAGTCACGTTTCCTCGAGCCGCGATCGTAGTCGCGGGCCGTGTGCCGAATTGCCGATCGCCGAGAGAGCGATGGATAGATGGGACGTACGGGGTCAGGAAGCGGCTGCGAAACACCGCCGCGAGACACCCGACTCTCGAGCCTTGACGACCCAAGAACGTACTGTGCTCTCGAGCTGAGGATACGTTCACAATTGGCCGACAGCGGTGGCGACGATGCAGATGAGAACGCGGCGTTTCAACTAAACGTACGTCGGCGCGATCGACAACGCCTGCCAACGATGTGCCAACACCGCGAATCGACTGCCCCGAGCGAACGAACCGCCGCACGAAAGCTGAGGGCGCGACACACTTTCAAGATGGCGGCCAGCGCGCGCAAATTTGAATTTTATTTCAAATGATTTCGAGTAAGGCTTTTATGGGATCCTTTTCTTTAAACATGATAAACGTACCATGTTGCATTTAAAAAAATAAAATAAAAAAAATAAAACAAAATTATACAATAGTTAAGAATACATAGAATATAAAAATATATAGATGTTTAATATACTAATGTCAGCAATATTATCTTTGTATATCTTACTTTTGTAATAATATAAAGTAATATAGACTGAAATACATACAAGAAATAAATATAAGATGGCAAATATATTTTGATACATAAAGAAATTTCAATATATTCAAAGTGAATGAAAATAAATTTTTAAGTTATATTTATTTATTCTATATATATTAAAATTTTTCGTGTATCAGAATATATTTGTCATTACTCTGTACATTTAAATAAAAAAAAAATGTAAAGAAAAACACAATGCACAACTAAAACGAATAGATCTATATGGATTTTAATGTCTAAATATATCTATATATAAATTAAATCTCGAATCGTGTATAGACATATATTTATTCAGATGTATATATTACACAAAATATACAGATCTCAAAGATTTTAACAAAAATGTTAAATATGGTTTAAGATATTATACGCGACACGTATGCGAGTAATAATCGATTTTATTTATATCCATTTAATCTGTTCGTCCTTATTAGATCGGACATTGTCCGATTGAATTTGTAATGTAAGCGCAACGTACGGCTTGTCACAATACGGCGAATCTAACGGAGGGTAATAATGTCTGTAGCAGACATACGTTAAACAGTAGCCTATTATCGATCCTATCACCACGTCTGAAACAAGTTTCATGTCAAATTACGATGTGAAATTATTATAGAATTATAAATTATTATATCATGTATTAACAACAAAGTAGTTTACCTTGCCAGTGATGGTGATAATCGCATGTTCTGCTTAACGCGATAGTAAGAGCGACACAAAGTGGCAAAAGGAATGTGCACAATCTCCACGATTGGCTTTTTCCTGCCAAACTGAATGTATGCAGCTTTCCGGCCAAGTACAAGGCGATGAAACCGAAACTGGCGAACGCAACTAGAATAAAAATTATTTTTAAAAACATATTCTTACATATTACACGTGTGTTATTATATCTATGTTCTTTATCAAATTAACTAATGTGTTCATACACATACAAATTAAATTGTAGAAACATAATTATATAATACTTATATATAATGTTATTGCAAACATAATGGCATACATGAGGAATGTCCGCTTGGGAATGACTTCTTTCCGTCTCTAACAACGATTGGATCTCCAGTGCACTTGAACCCTGGATTCATTTGCCCATTTGGAAAACATCGCCAGAAAAAATCTGGCCTCGGACGACCTAAAAATATAAGTTAAATTATAGATATATATTATTAAAACTAAATTTTCTTCATTGACTTGATATAAGTCTGTTCTGTTCAAACGTTTGAATAATAACTTACCTACTATAAGTTTTAAAATATCTGTAATAATACCATTAAATCCTAAGGCTAATGTTACAGACAATACTGACTGCTGAAGATCGACTTTATCTTTGTGCATCATGAAAAAAAAGCAAATAACAGCAACTGGCATCATAAACACAAGAGGCTGAAAAAAAGGAAATATTTCATTTAATATTATTTGCAAAACAATATCTCAATTAATAAAATCTATTTTTGTATTACTGATCCTACTTATTAAATATTTTTTATAAACACATATCTACCCATAATACTGTAGTTGGAACAAAAGATTCTGTTCTTGGATTTCTATATAACCACAGCTCATCTTCGTGAATTTTTCTCGTGAATGGTTCTGCTTTTTCCAGCTCCCTGAAAATTATTGCACTTTGTTTAACATATTTATAATAAAAAATGATGGATAATTCTTGACACTAATAAAAGTATAATTTATATTATTCTAAAAAAATTAATAATTATAAATAAAAAAAACCACAGTATTTTTGTTTTTGAAATAGAAACTTGATAACAGATGTAAAATGCTACTGTTAATTATCATTAATTAACACTAATTGATATTTGAACACTAAGTTTAGTAACAATTGTAAGAATTAGATGACCGTAAGCGATCATAAAAGAGATTCGGAATATAAACAGCTAACAGAAAGGAACTATTGCGAAAGGAACTTCATGCAGACTAAATGTCTTGATAGTAGAGGGACCCCGAGTTCTCAAATCCAATCGTCTCCGTTTATTTTTTCGAATTTTTCTAATCTAAATATCTTTCACAATTATAACTGATTATAACAACATATCAATTAATTGTGCAATTTGCATGCCCATGAAACGACAACTTACACGAATAGCACTGCCAGAAAGACACGTAGCAAAACGTCAAACCAGAACCCCAACGAGAGACGAAGTCCGCGTATGTTAGTCATCTTAGAATGTCAAGCATTTAAACCGAAGATAGATCGCGCCGGTTTTTTCCACATAAGATAAATACAAAAGTCGTTAACATTAAACTTAAACGATTCATCGTGTAACAAACCGTGTCGGCTTGCGTCGACGCCGATCGAAGTGCAATCAGGTCTTTAAACGTAAACGGATGCACACCCGATGCATAAAACGTCGATACGAAAAGTCGAACGTAATCGATAGTAATCTCGATTACAGAACTGTTCAAATAAGTTTCATCCGTACTTTAATTATCTTTTTCTTTTATCTTAAGTAAGTTTTCCGCTCTTTTCTCTTTTGTTAAACGTGAATTTTTGCTCGTTTCGTTAAGTTACACTTTCTAAAAAACTGAAAATATGAAAGACATACAGAAAACAGGAGAAAAAAAGGGAAAGTGCAGAAAGTGCAACTAGAAAAAATGTACTTCGCTTTTTCATGAGAACATCTGTCTGCTCTGTTCTTTTAGTTGCATGGTCTTACACTTTATGCACTTGAAATGAAATAGATATATAATTAAGTATTACGACAGAAAAAAAAATGTCAATAATACACTTTTATATATTTCTCTCGTATATGAAAATTTCTGGATGTTATTATTACTTAGGCAATCATAAATTAAAAAATAGAGATTGTTTTAATTAATTCTTTCGTAAAAAAAAAAATTCAACTGAGACAGACATTCGTTTTATTTACACTTTTGGATCCTTCGTTCTTTCTCTTTTTAACATTTAAATACGCATCTATCTCATTTTAGAGATACTTGAAAAGTGTTAAAGAGTGTAAATAAAGTTAATATTTTAGGTTAATCTCGCACGTACGCATATCACATAATACAGACCACACATATACACATGCGTGCGCGTGCGCGTACATCAAATTGTTCGATTACGTGCTTTCTGGTGCTTTCTTTCACGAGAATGGATGCGTTACGTTTCTTCGTGAAAAGTTCCTGCCATACATCGCGTGTATACCACAATTGATAGTAAATATTATCAATCATTGTTGCGTCAAATCATACGTGACTAAGACTACGGATAAACGTTTGCTATCATAATTTTGTATTTTTGAGAGCACATGAAAGCGAAATAAATAGTCGTAACAGTGTCGAAAAATTGCAATGAATGCAATAATACATGATATATAAGAGTAATACTAATTTTATATAAAAAGACGCTCATTGTCCGATGTGAAAAAAGAAAGCAAGTACAGGTTAATTTATAAACTCTCATGTAAGAAGTTTTAATTATTTAATTTGAAAAAGATATAATTACCATAATAACACTTTGGAATTAACATAATTATAATAATTACATTGCGCGATAGTAGCTTAAACTTTAGGCAAATATTATTTACACAAATATTATTAAATAGTATTCAATTTCAGAAGATTCAGCAGAGAAAGAAATAAAGAAATGGAAGTATATGTTATTTTGTAATACGATAATATTTGGAAAGAATTCGAAAATATTAGCTATATAGTTATATATCTCATAACTATTAGTCTTAGAAATAAAAAGTATAATGTTAACATCTGTACCTACGGCACCGTCCACTTCTGCGAGCAGTTCTGGATTACCAAGTCCAACCACTGATAGGTTTGATGAAATTTCAAATAAATTAACAGCTTATCTGCATCAACTAGCTGGAAATTATGAAATGGATGTCGACGTGATATTCAAAGATCATTGTTATGCTCGACCTTGGAACTGGAAACCAGAAAATATTTATGTAAAACCTATAAAAAAATTGTTCTTCTCAAAAAGTAATACAAGGTAAGATTATCCACAAGATCTTCGTTTGAATTTTTATTTAATATGTTACAATATAAAATTGTTGTAACGATTGCTCTACTATTAGTTCTTACTATCTATTTTTTAGTGATAAGCACAGAAAGGATGAAGAAATTGATGTGGAAAATATTGATAATGAACCAGCACTGCCCTTTGATTTAACCAGAGTACGACATGCAATGGATGAATTCGAACGTTTAGCGAATTTTGCACGACCAGAGGAAGAAGAAAAGGAGGAGGATTGGGAAGAGAAGATAGATAAAACTTTATGGTCTCCAATTCAAAATAGGATATTTAGCAAAGTGACGCGGATATTAAGCTCAGAAAGGCTCGCGAGATTAGCCAAAGCTAAAAGCACAGCAGAACCGATTTTTCGAAGAACATCCGTGGATGTCACAGCGAGGAGATTTCGAGAAACGTTAGCGTCAACTGGATGGGACTGGAGACTAGTTCAGTGGCTACATAATTTGCTATTCGAACATCTTCCTCAGGAATATTTGGCCATCTATCTTGACATTCTACAAGTCTTGAGACTGAAGATTCCACAGCTAATTGATAAGATGATTGCTGTGCAACCGAATATTAGTGCTAAAGGAGGTTCTATAACATGGGAAACGCTCGGTTCGCTCTTAAAACGATCTTGGGATCCTGTCGCGCAGAATTTAAGTGGAAACAGACTTGTAAATATGATAATTTGATCGTTAATACGTAATATCTTATTATCTTAAATCTAATAATATAAGACGAAAGTTAACATAATCGATTACAGAAGAAATTGCCTGGAAATCCAATCTTGATAGTAGTACCTTCTGGCATAGCATCAGCTGTTTCATCTCGTCAACATAAATGGATCACGCAATTAGGATCCTTAGGTATGGTCGCTACTGTTCATACCCATATGGGATTAGCAGCCAACAGAATGACCATGATGGTGTGCATGGATCAATTAGTCCAGGCTACAAGAGCTAAGATTCAAGATGTCAGAAGTGATTGTCCTGGTAGGCCGATAATTCTCGTAGGTTTCAACGCTGGCGCAGCACTTGCATGTCAGGTAATCTTATTTAATATAATCTTATTTCTACATATGTACTTGCATTTATTCTTCTTCCTATCATTATGATTGACTTTCATTTACTTTGCGATGTATAGGTGGCTCAAATGGAACATATAACTGCTGTTATCTGTATCGGATTTCCTTTCACGACGGTTGAAGGAAAACGGGGTACACCCGATGATATGTTAATGGATGTTCGTTGTCCAGTCATGTTTATCATCGGACAAAATGCCACTCTCGTTAGACCGGACGATTTAGAGGATCTTCGTGAGAAGATGTTGGTTGAAACAAGTCTGGTAGTCGTAGGTACAGCTGATGATCATCTGAGAATATCCACGTCCAAGAAAATGCTCGAGGGCATCACGCAAAGCATGGTGGACAGATGCGTATTAGACGAGATCGGAGATTTCATCGCTAGCATTCTGTTGCAACCGCATCCATTGCCATTGCGAGCAACGATTGCAACTAATTGTGATAACAAGAGTAAGAAGGATTCTCACAAGCGAAGAAATTCAACCAGCAGTTCAGTAGAAAGCGAACCTAACTCGCCGATCATAAAGAAATCCCGTCCGAACACACCAGTGTCTTCAACATTATCAATTGGGACGAACGTGGCATCGAATTCAACTTCTAAAATCGGCACATTGAGTACTCAACCAAATTTGATGCAAGTAAGTGGACAGCATACGAATCATACTTCCGCCGTAAAACGGAAGCGACCTACAAACAATCAGAGAAATCAATTCTCAGAACTGAAAACTGCTAGACTTTCTGGACAGGTAATTATCACACAATGCAAATAATGTATGATACATTATATATTATAACAATATTATATATATATATGTTATAGATATATAGATAATATTATAGATATATTATAACAATCACTGAAATATTTATATCTGCAGTGTAAAATATATAAAATAGCATACGATAACAATTATGATATATTATTTATTACAGACAAATATTAATTCGGAAAATGGTATAACGCTCAATATCGGCACTCTAGCGAGTTTAGCGCCGATAGGACCCATACGTTTAGCACCCACTACAGTGAGTCAATCTACAACCACTACCTCCAAAACATCTAATACATCCAAATCCTCAACTGCAACCGTTAAAGTACCGAAGATTATTTCAAATGTGCCGCTGCAGAATGTTTCGAAGATGAAAACGATAGTATCTTCTAACAAGTCTTACTCGAATACGATCTCGAATAATTACAGACAGGTCAACACACCTGATAAAAGCGGTGATGCAAAATTGGTGAATGTTTTTACCACAGGAAATCAAATTAGAGTCAATGCAACTCCTACAGGTAAGATAAATTATTATAAATATAAGTATTAATGTTACTAATAGAAAAGTAATTAATATTATGGAGACTAACAAATATTGTTTATTTTTTTTTCTTCAATTTATAATAGCAGGAAGTAGCAAGCCTACAACAACAAGTGGCACGTTGTCGAATCTTTTGCAAAACGGAAGAATTCTATTGCGCTCACAAGCGGTGCATCCTCTGTCCGTACATCGTCAGCTTCCAGTATCTTACTAACGACTACCAATTCGCCAACGAATACTGTAACGTCCACATCGACTCCTTCAAAAGGTAGATTGTTATTATCTAATCAACTATTAAATAATTTACCTGAAACGTAGTGATAAATAGATCTATATAATATTATTATATTTATATTATATTATTTTGATCGCTTTTCACATTAATTGAATAATTTAATATTATTTTTGCTTTGTGTGTACTTAGAATAATTTTTATATTGGCATTTAGATAAACTTAAAAAGTCAGATGCCACTAAACAAAGTAAGAATAATTGACATATATTTATAATAGTAATATAAATTTTGAGAACAATTAAAATTATTTTTATTTTCTTTAAAGCATAAATTTATTTTAGGTATAAATTAGAACTTCAAAGCTTATAAATTCAATCATCGAACCAATTGCTCCAACATAAGCAGATTTATATTTTTATCTATTGATTTTAATGTGTATTACTTACATATAAATTGTCATATACAATAAATTTATATTTTCGTAATTTGAGGCCTTTTGATAAAAATTTATACATATATACATATACATATGTTTATATCAAATTTTTTTACACTTTCATATAAAATAACATAAAAGTTACCTCATAATTTTCAAAATTGTATAATCCATATTTTAATTAAATAATATATCAAAATGTCTTTGTATGAAAAGAAGTAATCTAAAAATTCTTTCAATTTCTTGTAATTTCATATCTATATTTTAAATCTAATCTAAATATATATATAAAATATATATATAGACAAGCTAAAGTATTAGAAGCAATATTGACCATAGGATCTTCAAAATTAATTATTAATTAAATGCTTCTGTATAATTTGAAAGTTATTATGTTAAGTTAATATTTTATAATTATATAATTTTCTGATAAATTTTAATACAAATTAAACAAAATTTATTGATATACATGTGATTCTATTTGTGCGTTAGAATTACATATAGAATTTCATGTACAATTATATTTGCTATAGTGGCTTTTTTCCATTAAAATAAAATAATACTGTATACTATAATAATGTAAAGTTGTTAATTATATATGTATATATGTTAAAAAAATGTTTTTAGAGAGACCACATATATATTTTATAAAAAGAAACATCATATAACAGTAAAAATTTCTAAATTTATATATTAATTTATAAATGATTATCAATTTATGATCTGTTTGGGTCATGATTATTAAAAGTTTTCTTTATGCAAAACTAAAATAATCCTCTCCTTTGGAATAGCTTAGAATTAATTAGACCCTGGAATTATTTCACAAGCTTTTCCTCTGTTGTTGTGTATTTATTTTTTTTTAATTTTGTAGTTAAAGTAGATTAATTTAACAAGATATTTTAATTATTTTTAATTACTGAATTATATGTATTTACACAATATTTCAAATACATATAAAAAATTAGGGGGATTTTCAATCTATCTTTCAATTGGTTACATGACTGTATATAGTGAATATATTTAGCCATATATGTACATTATATTACATCCTATAAACGCTATTAATAATCATGAATAAACCTGATAATAGGAATTGTCAAGCTAAAAAGCAAAATATTGTACATACACTAGGTTGCCTTTTATTTTGTATTCAATAAATATTTTTTTGTAACAATTCGAATTTGTTTACTTCCCAACCTTAATCCCATCCACTTTGAATCAAATATAAATAATTAATGAGTCTGGAAATAACTTCGAACAATTGGTTTTGGGAAATTTAATTAATGCCTTTACTTACATCGAATAACTTGAGCAGCGACAAGCATTTATTACTATAGTAGTAGGTCGTTGCATTAAATAAATTTGGTAAGGAAATTATGTAATTTTTCTTGTTGCTTGATTAATAAATTAAAAGTTCTGTTAATTCATATTTTTACCTATCTAATATTTGTTGGATATGTTGTTTCCATATATAATGTTAAATATAAAACTAAATAGGAAAATATTTTGAAAATTAAATGAGAATGAAGACGGATAAAATACATTCAGAGAATCAATCATTAACAAATTGTTTTATAATTATATGTGAAAATCATACAATATATATGAAAAAAACATGTTGGTATAATGGAAAATATTTGGGTATATTGCTTGCATGTTAATATGTATTTATTATGTATTTTTATTATGTATTTTTTTTAATTTGAAACAAATATATGTATATATTTTATAGTGATTGAAGAAATGGGAGTAAGCGGTGATTCTCATTTATTGGACGTATCCAAGTCAACGCATTTCCCACGACAAGGAGCCGTGTCCAATAGTACCGATAACTCTCATAATACATCATGTGGTAACATAGTCATTGTCGAGAATTCCCTTCATACCAGAAGCACATCATCATCGGTGATAGTTCCATTAAGCAGCCAAAACTCCGGCTTTTTACCGTTGTCCAATAAGCTGAAATTCTCGCAAAAATCGATGAAGACAATGCCGAAGATCACGGTCAACGCCAATAATTTGCAAAGACTTCAAAAAGGAAAACCTCAAAATATCCAGAGAAGAAACATCACGAATGACATAGACGATGATCTAGGTAATATATTGGATATACCAATAATATTCGCCAAGGATGATGATAATTTGAGCAACATTGACAAGATGCCAGTGGTAACACAAACGACGCTGACCAAAGAATCTCAAGAGAGGCCAAAATTGAACAATACCACTAAGGTAGTTTTAATCAGTAATAAGCAAGACAAATTGCAGCAGATGCCAAATAAACTCGGGACAGCTTCCACGCAAGCCGTTATATGTCCTAATATGCCTATGCAAAACTTAAATCAGTTGATATTGCAAACACGATCGCAGAATGGCGGCGTCCCGGCAAAAAGTAGAATCGGAGTTCCAATAGAGAATCGATTGGTACAACCTACTGTGAAGTATACCAAAATTATACTAGCGAAGAGAAACTCTCAACCTATTCAGCAAAACGAGAGAAGTGAACAGATGATTACAACCAAAAAGACTATAGAAGATATAAACGCGCCTAAAATTCTGACTTTTGAGAAAGACGAGCATAGATTCGTACAAGCGCGATCTACTACGACAACATCATCGATAAATTACGATCTTCGTACGGACAATGTACTTGAGATTGAGGACGCTATTAAGACGAATATCATTGAACGCAAATATATACCCGCGCCTGCAATCGACGAATTATCGTCTGCAATTCCCGACAACGATGACGATTGCAATATTTTCAATGAAACCAAACTGGACGAGAAAAAACATGATTCAAAACAGTCCGCTTTCGGTAATACTAGTGAAATGCAAACTTAGATATAATTACTTTATGACATATAATTGCTCGATAATATTGATCATTATTTTATAATTAATATAAATTGATCAACAATTATAATATAAATTATAATTGCTAATCAATTTAATTGTTCAATCAATCATCAATTTAATTAATTAATTGTCTCGCATATTGCGAGAAGACACTTTTGAAATATAATTATTTCAAAGTGTCTATATTGCTTTACAAGTATTATTAAATATTGATATATTTAATATTAATATTAATATTAAATATATTAATATTAAATTACTAGTTATATTTTAAATAATTATAATGATATAATATTTTTAAAAATATAAACCTAATATTTTAAATATTATAACTATTATCTATATAATAGTATAATATACAATATCTCATTTAATATATTATAATTATATATACTGTATATCGCATTATACTGGTCTCTAAGCTTTAATAGTGATTATTGATACATATTTTGTTATTACAATGAGATTATAATGTGATCTATTTTAGAGTTCTATGTATGACAAATGGAAAGAAGATATACCTATGTATATATATCTAAAAAAATTGAATGAGAATTATTCTAATGTCTGATAGGATAAAAACTCTTTCATATGTATAGAATATCCATTATAATACATTCAAATTTATCAATGATGAATGAGAAAAGGATGACGAGAAGTACATGGAATTAAATAACAAAAAAGTACCCATTTTGAAAACTGCATGTTATTTCTACGTTAATTTTTTTCATAAATGTCTCTAAGATGTATATCTGAGAAAAAAAATGATAATGTAATAATTGCGCAAAAATTCATGATGTTAACTTTCTAATTTAAATACTACAGACAAATAATATTCTGAATCAATTAGAAAACTTAATTTTTGAAAACAAGAATCAAAGTTAAAGAGTTGAAATCTTTTCAATTTATATCAAGAAAGTATGAAAATTTATAACAGGAAAAAACGTATACATCTCAAAGACAAATAAGTAATGTTCTAGAGTTATGTAACATAATGCATTTATATTATGAATTTAACATAGAGAATTATAAATGGAATTATATAAAGATGAAGTTCCTATAAAAGCTTGTGTTTATTTACATCTCATTCCCTAATAAAGCATCTCCATTTTGTGATGTAAACATCACATACATTTTTTTACTTAATTCGGGACCGATTTTACGTGCAGCTGTGATAGGTCCTGCTGCTCTTCTTATCTATATTAAATAATGTAACTTTTGTATATTTATTATATTAATCAATTATAAGCTATACATAACAGATTGTAACTTGTACTAAATATCACATATAAAATATAATTTAAATTTACATTTATATATAATTATGCATAAAATAAATAATTATATATGTTAGAAATTATCCAATAATTTTATATATCTTCATTAACATAATGTTAATAATTCCATTATCATATTACAAGTTACAATAGAAAGAAATAATCACTTACCGATATATCTTTCAATAAATTCACGCCTTCGTCAGGTGTGCAATTTCTGTAAGCCTGCAAACATAATAAAAATATTGTCTTGACTTATTACTTTAAAAAAGTTAAATTTTTCAAAACAATGATATTGAGTTGCAATGTTTAATTATAACGATACCTTGATAAGTTGCGCTGGACTAGGATAAGCCATACATATCGCTTCTGATGTTTCCAAGCTACTCAAATTAAATTGGCACAGCTGCTGTTGCCACAATCTCTTCAATCCGTTGCCATCTTTGTCCACGCGTACAGTGTTCTTATTATCTCCCATGACATACCAATCGAATTTGCTTTCCTGATTTCCTTTCTTCTGCAACTTGTATGGTATTTCCGAAATGGACTTTGTATATTGATATACCATCAGCGCTAAATCTTGCGCGTTCTCAATTAATCTACTGCTGCATTTGGCTACTATCTGAATTTCAGCTAAACACATCTCTAGTTGTTGTCTGGATATAATTGGAAGCGTGTCAAGCTGTTGATTATTTTTACCATTATATCTAGGCCCTTTACTACCAGGATTCTGATCCGACTTTTGTTTCTTTCGATACGTGAAATATTCCTCCATGCCATAGATAACTAGGGTCATACTGTAGCTCGGTATCAAGTCTTTGCTGTTCGAAATAGATGTGCAGAACGTACCTTCCGCTACATGCTTCACCGCTTCGTAGTTGCTCCAGATCACAATAACATGTTCTTCTATCTGTATACTGCTCTTAGTACGCACTTTATTATCTTCATCAATATAGTCTTCTTCGACGTTTCTCTGCCATGTAATACTATTAGGAATTAACTCGGTAGTTATCTTGAATTTGATATCGACATTCCGCAATGCGCTTTCAATTTCTTCTCGAGAAACGAACGTGTCGATATGTCGATCAAGATTGACTTCCATAAATTTGATACATTCGCCGGGCTTCATATCTCTTGATGTCTTCTTTTCGATCGCCTTCAATGCCTTCTCCCTCGCCAAAGCTTGCTGACGTTTCGATCGTTCTTCTTTCGATGTCGTCTTGTCCCTCTTGGAAACTGCCGTTTTTCGTGATGATTTCTCAATTTGATTCTCCTCCGAGTCGGACATAGGCGATTCTCTGAAGTGTTCATTTAAATCAAAAGAATTTTTGTTCTGCGACGCCGAGAGTAACGCGTACTCATGGCAAAAAGGTACCTTTGGAAAATCGAATATATTCTCAATATCTGAATGATATCCGTCAGTTTGTGATTTATTCCTATCGTATTTGTCAGCAACAGGTGATGCCGGTTCGTCCGAATCACTTAACACGATCACACTTCTCGACATTTTTCTTTTCTTCTCTTTTTTTTCTTCTTCGTGCACTTGAGATTTTGATTGCTAGGCGTTAGACATTCCGAGAAAATTATACTCACGAAGAAAGAAATTTTAATCCATCGATCTCACATATCACACAAAAGTCATGTGTGTGCCAGCTGATCATTTGGATCAACTAGTTCTAACCTAACCTGCGCAAGTAATGATGAAGTGACGATTATGTTTGGGAAAAGTAAATATATCGGGCATTTAAATTTGCGTTGATTCGTTATTAATGAATGATTTTCTATGTTTAATCAATATTGTCAAATATCGAAAATTTTTTAGCATTTTTTTCACAAATCTTACAGATTTTAAATGATTCGAATTTGAATAGCTTAAGCTGTTTGAATATAGCTTCAGTTCGAAAAGTTAGAATTACTTGACATTCAATCTTGATATTCGGATTGTCCGAACTTCCTTTTTTTCTTGAATCTAATGGCATCTGATATTTCCGAGTCCTAAAAATCAGAAAGGAATAAAAGCGATACAATAACTGAAGAAGCATGAAAAATATTTATCTGAGGTAAATATTTGAGGTTAAATATTTACATTTAAAATAATAGAATAGTAGAAAGTGGCATGCGCGATTTAAAAATTTATCGAACGTCGATATAAAGCCACGATTTTCGAGATTATCGAAAGCGCGGATAAGGCGCGAAATGTATATACTTGCGACGTTGTCAAAAAGGCGCGCACAGCGAATAGTGAAGTGAGCATCGAATCCGTGTCCAAACTTGAGAACGTGAGAACTTCAGAAGTGATTTTGAATTGCGAGATCTTTCGTTTCTTTTTATCATGCTTTCGCGTTGATCTTCGGGACAACTAATGAGCGTGTGTGTACACCGAAAACGATACAAACGGACGTCACTTGCTTCACGTTCTGAGGCAAAACAAAGGGACTACGATCGTGTAGGTTATACTTGCCACGATAATAAGAAATCGTACGTGTCTCAGTTGTATTTGAAGTGAATGAATGTGTATACATATGTGTATACATATTGTTTGTTTTCTACTTTTAGATAGTTATATAGTCATTTGATTGAAGCTAGTCACTACTTCACCGAAATGGATCCACCTTCGAGCGACTCGTCAGCGGAACTCGAAATCGATCTTGAAGAAGATAATTTGCTCGACGAAGTGTTGTGTATGAACAATAGAGAGATTGTCGAATCCAATCAAAATGGGATGACGAAAAAAGTCAACGTAGAAAGCAGCGCATGGTATGAGGACGAGGAAGAAGATATGGATGTTCATAGTAAGGAGGAAAAAGATACGGATGTTCGCAATAAGGAGAAAGAAGATACGAATGTTCGCAATAAGGACAAAGAAGATACGGATGTTCGCAATAAGGAGAAAGACTCGAGTGCGCGATGTGATAATGATAGTCAAACAGAGCGCGAAGGAGGCACAAATATTAAGTATATAGAGTATAAAGACAATGTAAAGAATAAGCCAGATGATTCGCATATCTGGCGCAAGCGAGTAAGACAAGATAGTATAGATCACGAGAACACCAAGGTTTCTCGTAGTAGACGCTACTCCAGTGACTCCAGTACGACCACAAATTCATCGGAAAGTAGTAAAAAGCAAATAGAATACGAGACAGATCCAGTTGTGCTGGCACGCAGACAGAAAGAAATTGATTATGGGAAGAACACTATTGGATATGATAGATATATAAAGTTAGTTCCTAAGTGAGTATTAGAAAAGTGACATAGCAAGTGACAAAGTATGTGTGTAGTTCAGCTAAAATCTTTATTTAAAATCTTTATTTTAGAGAGACACGTACACGAGAAGATCCAAGAACACCACCGAAATATATAAAATACAGTAGGAGAGGCTGGGATGGTATGGTGAAATTGTGGAGGAAGAAACTTCATTCTTGGGATCCTCCTCAGGAGAACGACAAGGCTAATTAAGAAGCTGTCTTATTTTGTCGTTCTGTTCAAGATATACTGCCAATATCATTTCCTTTAATTTATATATAAATTATATTATTTTAAAGCTATTCTGTTATCCATTTTTAGCGCTTGAAACCTTTTTTATAGTACATAGATTATATTAACAGCTGTATAGTATAGAAACAACATAAGTGATATTTTTGTCCTAATTTATGTTGATTTAATTATTGGCTTTTGAAACCTTAATTTCATAGATGATTTTGTATAATTAAAATAATTTATGTATATTAAATGTCTCTTTTGAGACAGCATTTGCAAATTTCTATTGCTATTTAGATCATTTAAATACAAATTTAATTTGTATTTAATTTGTATTTATTTGTGTTAGAGGAGAGCTATTGAAACATTTTAAAAATGTGCAATTTTTGTATGTGCTTTTGATATAAGATTTGAAAACAGTCGTACATGAATATCAACTTATTCTAATATAATAAAAGGATTTGTAAGAAGATAAAAGAAACTATATATTTAAAGTAGGTTAGATCTTTCAACTAGCTAACATGATGTACATTCATGATAAATTCATTTTCTTCATTTTTATGTTATATTAATAACTTAATAATTCGATAAATTAGATCTTTTGTTTTATTCTATATAAAATTAATAACAATTTACTAAATTAAACTAATGAAAACATTTACTATAAACTCAGTTGCGATTCAAGTTTTTCCAAAATAGTATTCAGCTTCTGATTGGTATTGGCTTCCATCTTGTCTATTCGCTCCATCAATCTTTTTTCTATATCATGGAATTTATTATCGATATAAATTTTGATATCTATATCGGATTTTTTCTGGTCTTCACAGTCTGTGCAGTCTTTGTCACTGTTGCTCCTTAAGTTTTTATTTTTAAGAGAATCCGATTTTTTGTAATCATCTCTATGACTTAAACATTCTTTTCCGTTATCAATTTCATTTTTATGTTTGAAACTATTCGAGTTCAAAGCAACGGTTTCTAAAATTTTCTGATGAAACTGTTCGTTATTCAATTCTTGTTTATTGTAAAATCCAAATAATTCCATCACTTCAAATTGTTGACTCATCTTGTCGTTACTAGAATTACTAAGAAAAGTCTGCATAAAGTCTTTATAATTGAAGGCACTAGATTTTGCCTCTTTTCTCGATCTTGTCTTATTATCGTAGCTTGTAATATCTTTCTCCGTATCCGACGTTTTATAATTCCCTTCACGAGTTGGATATTCCATTTCATTATTTTTGCATTCAGAAGCGTTTGACTGTTTATCTCTGCAATTTGGAAATTCCTCCTCATTATTGCTTCTTTTCATCTCATTTATACATCTTTCATCTTTTGAACCCGAAGCAAGTGTTTGAAAAATTTTCTCTTTATTCATGATTTCTTGTCTATCATAAAATTCAAATACTTTCTTCGCCATTTTGAATCCTTGACTCGTTTTGTCATTGCTGGCATTACTGAGAAAAGTTTGAATAATATCATAATCAAAGGCACTAGATTTTGCCTCTTTTGTAGAATCTGTCAAAAACAGTCTTATACCATACACCCACATAGGAGGGCTCTTATTTTTCGTTCTAATAAACTGAAACAAAAGCAATTGTTATTGTACTAAATATGCAAGCAATGTCAATGTGAATGAACAGTCATTTTACCTTAATGCTAATTTCTGTGGTAGGAGGGCGTATCATCGTTTCACCAAGAAAAACTATATTGTCCTCATATTCATCTACGAATTCTGCAAGTATCGTTGTTTCATATTCTCCAAATTGCTTGAAGATTTCTAAGACATTTCCTTCGGAAACAATGGCAATGCGTGCTATCCTTTGACAATTCGTCACCTTGATATCCAGCATACATGGTTCTGTATTGGAATCCACACTAGAATTCACTGGCTGCAAGGCGATACAAGTGTCCAGAGAAGCTACATCTTCACAGTTTATTCTATGTAAAATTGTATTTATATAATTCCAATCAACATCATTTCAACTATTCTATAGGCTGCTACATATAATAGATATTACATATATATTTGTTTCAATTTATTTATTTACCTTACAGGTGCATGTTGCATTGGTGCTATAGTAACAGCATCAATAAATTGCTTATTGTTATTAATTTGCCAATTGCATGAGATTAGTAGAGGACTGTCACAGTGCTTCATTGAAAGTAAAGCGTGCGACTCACTAGTATCTTCAATATTCATTACCTCCATAGTTTCAATACATGAGGAAATGAGCAAATACAATCGACAATCACCTTTTTGTGAACAAGATGTATACCACTACTACACCTTGCAGGCTTGCAAATTTGTTTGTAATTATCCACATTTTCTGGGATATCTATTGTCACATTATGTAACACACCATTCTTGTTCAATCTAGATGTGTGATCACTGAATAATTTTGTTATATTGAATAAATAGTTCAATGTAATAGGCCGAAAATCTGTTCAAACAGTATAATAATGAGCAAGTCTTACGCACTCATAATAATCTAAACAGAAATTAATACTGTTTCACTTTGCATTCTCTAGCTTGACAAGTCCGAAAGTTTCTTTCCGACATTTGAAATGTTCGATGCAAATGTTAAATATTAGTTAGAACAAACCTTTCAATTTATTGGAACGTAAAAATGATTACAGATTAACGAAGATAATTGTCAATTGCGATGAACGTTACAAAAGATATTTCACTCCATGCCTAATCACACAATTCGATTTTTTTTTTTTTCTCTTTTCCTCCGGTTGGAGGATGTCGGATTAATTCCGACTATGTGTCTTCAACCCTAGGGTTATATAACACAGGTTTATCTAAATCCTTTATAAGTTTCTCTGTATTCTGTGATATTCTAGTTCAACTTTCTCTTTATCCACGTTTAGCTTTCTCTTTATCCTTAACAAATTGCATGACGCAACACAAAAATTCATGTGAGGACAAAAGACGTCCCACTCACTCGATGGCTAAAGACCAACTATATTCACACAATTCGAGAATAATTTTAGGTTATGCTAAATAATCTCATACAGGCCTTTATGAGTGTGTTCACTTTGAATTGCGATCTATTCAGGCTGGTGTTCCATGGCGTGGAAATCTACAGCAAAATGGAATGTGCAACCAATCAGCAAAAGAACGAATAGAATAAACGAGTTTTCTTTTGGCTCTTTCGCTGTGACCAATTTCAGGGCTACAAAATTTCATAGTTCAACTGACCAATCAGAATAAAGAATTCTATTGATTAACCAATGTGTCTCGATAGACCTGTTTTTTTTTAACTTGAATTTCTTACACTGTTCATTTCTCTTCTTTTACTTACTTTAACTTAGAGAAAAAAAAAATTAACGTGCAGAGGAGCTAAAAAGAGTAACTAAAAAAACAGATTTAAGTTATATTCGGAAATACTTCTCACCCGAATACTCCTCATATATCATTTGTTCTTGTTTAACATTGATGAACACAAGGATAAAATAATGGAGGCACTACGAATGGTGCTTTTGAACGTAGCCCTATGGTGGAGGGGGAAGGAAGAATCTCTGATCCGCGAACAGCTGAGCACCAAAGTATCGAACCATATCGAATTGTGCGCGCCGTGCGACTTATTCACGAATTATCTCTCAGTTTGGAATCTTGTAGAAAACATGTCGAAATACAGGATTGTTATGGTTCGTCACGGCGAGAGCGAGTGGAATAAATTGAATCTTTTTTGCGGCTGGTACGACTCCAATCTATCGGATAAAGGTATGTAAATATCGCCTGGCTGTACCCATTGAATCCATCGTTTTCAAGGGCGAAAGGTCGCACGATCGCGCGCGAGTCTTTCAAGTTGCATTTTTTTTTCATGAATTACTTTATTAACGTAACGCGATTACGTTTCTCCAAATCGTGTGAAAATTGAAGCCTGATACATACTATACTTGATAATATTATTCATTCAAAATATTTTAATTCCGATAACTTCATATTGTGTTTACTCTGATGAAAATAAAAATTGAAAGATAAAAGAAGCGTTAAACTTCTTTTTGAAGTGTCAATTTATGCTACCTAAAAGCACTTCATTATTAGCACTTCATTAGCCTTCATAAGTACTTTATCATTTCCTTTATGCTAAGTTTACGTTCCGATTTTTCCTTTTTCCAAAGCATTTTTGTACGAAAAATGATTCGTGCATCTAAAATTAAAATTAACATTTAAAACTTGACACTTGTACTTATAAAATGAATTAAATAATGTATTAATCTTATGCGATAGAATAATTATTTTGTGTAAATATAACTAAATAAAGAATCAAATATTACATCTTTAATGCCATTTAATTAATGTGTTTAACAGAAGAATTTGTATTATTAAACGAAAATTAAACGAATTTATGAAAATTCCAAAGATACAATTTATCATTTATAATCACACGATTCGAGTGCTTAAAGAATTATGTAAAAAAATGTCAAATCTAGTTTAATACAAGACTGGGAGGATTAAAAATGGAATAAGATTTATATATATATAAATAACCCTTTTTTTTAGGAAAGAGCGAGGCTGTGTCTGCAGGAAAGGCTCTTAAAGAAGCAGGTTATACATTTGATGTAGCTCACACATCAGTGCTCACGAGAGCACAGGAGACGCTCAAATCAATTTTGAAAGAGATTGGCCAGGAAGATCTGCCTGTTCAGAAGACATGGCGTTTGAACGAACGACACTATGGTGGTCTTACCGGCATGAACAAAGCAGAAACAGCTGCCAAATATGGAGAGGAACAGGTGCAAATCTGGCGAAGATCTTTTGATGTACCACCCCCACCGATGGAGTCTGATCATAAGTATTACGATACAATAGTGAAAGATCCACGTTACGCCGATGGACCAAAGCCAGAAGAATTTCCCAAATTTGAATCTCTTAAATTGACCATTGAGAGGACGTTACCTTACTGGAATGAAACGATTATTCCGCAATTGAAGGAGGGCAAGAAAATCATTATAGCCGCCCATGGGAATAGCTTACGCGGCATAGTGAAACATTTGGACCGTAAGAAAATTTATTTAATCTGAATCTATTTATGTTTAATGTAGTCAAATTATGACAATCTGAGAAATATAAATTTTTTTGTTTATAGAAATGAGTAATGAGCAGATCATGGGACTAAACCTGCCGACTGGTATCCCGTTTGTGTATGAATTGGACGAAAACTTCAAACCTGTCGTTTCTATGAAATTCCTGGGTGATGAAGAGACTGTTAAGGCAGCGATGGCTGCAGTTGCCGCACAAGGAAAGGTCAAATAAATGATGATAAAATTAAAAAACGTGTCAACTTGTGAATATATTATGTTATATGTCTGTTAAAAATATTTATGAAACTTTAGCTTCGTTATTTTAACAAAGAATATAGTTCAAGAAAGAATGGCGAACATGATTTTTTTGAACAAATTCCTTGTATGAGTAAAAAAATAAAAAATATATAAAATACTTATGACAACTGTATTATTAAATTAATATAAATTAAATATATAATTAATTGATATAATAAAATATTTGTCTTAACTTGCATTGTTCTTTCTTTTTTCTTTATATTGAAGAGAAGAAGAGGAAAGTTGAGTAGTGTAGGCTAAGAAAGATCACGTAAAAAAAAATGCTAACATTAACACCAGCTTGATGTTCCCAGACGGTCACTCATCCAAATACTAACCGTGCCCAACGCTGCTTGACTTCAATGGTCGGATGAGACCTGATACTTTCGATGTAGTTTGAACATTGGTTTGATTTCTCTTATCTTTAGAAATGAATTTATATAATTCTATCAACTTCCGAGATATTTATTCATATATGATATTAAACAAACATGAAATTGAAATTATGTGACAGAAAAAAATTATATTCAAAATTTAGTAAAAATATAGTTATCTGTATCACGTGTATATAGACTTTAGTACTGTCAGTAAAAAATGTGTAGTTATACAATCACGTAAGTCATGTTTTTATTGAGACCAATGAAATTTAACGCAATAGATATATGTACTATGAAAATTTATTGAAATAAAATGAATATATTATGTTTACGATAGGGCATTTATTATCTCTTTCGTCCCTGGATTTCCAATAACATGACGCATGGTCACGTGACAAGCACGCAAAGACCAAAGGTACCGACACGAAGTGCTCATATTAGTTGTATGTGTTGTTATGACATTAGAGGGAGAGAAAAGTAAAATCCGAAATTACAGGTGTTTCAGGCTATCACAAAGTTCAACCGTTCAGCGTTGGTCAGTTCGTTTCGGAACGTCGATGATGTAGATTGGGTGCGTCATAACCTCGTATATATACTCTGAGACAAAAGTTCTCCGTGAGAGAATTTTCGATTGAAACATGAGCCGCGTGGACCTGAAAGTTGTGTTATTGGGTAACGCGATGGTGGGAAAGACAAGTCTGATGGAACGATATGTACACGACTCGTTTAATTGCAACAGGCCCTATCAGAACGTAAGTATAACTCGATTATGTGCGTATGTACATACAAAGAAACGCGTTCATGCCGTTCGATGCCCGTACATATCTGGCAACTAAATTTTCCAAATAATTAAGAATCTGTTTGAATACACTTCATTAAGAGCATAGAGCAATTTGATTACTCTATTTCCCAAAAGAGTTCACACACTTAACGGCATTAACGTTCATACATACTATATAGAAAAGACGATTCAACAAAGGAAATTGTTGAGAAACAAAGAAAAAAGAGAAACAGTAGTTTTTTTTAGAATTGTTAGAATCCCTTCCAAGTAACAGGTTTCTGTTCCTTTTAGCTGAACTCTGTGTTTTGAATTTTCTACATTTAAAGTATATCGATGGCACTATTATGAGAGATATATAGTTACATTTGTGGGCGTCATTAATTATTCTTATCAATGCTGTTTGCTGTCACATGCACCAGAACAATATAACATTTTTACATAATTATGTTTTGTTTTAAATATCATTTAAAAAAATATAAAATTTTTATGTTTATTTCTACCAATATACCATTAATTTTAATCTCAGTTTAATTTACCTTTTATTTTTTTAGGTCTAAGAATTAGAAAAGATAAAGAGTAAATTAAATTGAAATAAAAGTTGATTTATATTGGTAAAAATAGACATTAAAAACTGAAATGAAAGTTAATTTACATTGGTAAAAATGGATATTAAAGAGAAATTAATTTACATTGGTAAAAATGGTAAAAAGAAAATTGTATCATAAATATTCAAAAATTGTAATTTCATAGTTATATTTTTCTCTGATACTGCCAATCCAATTGTAATTTAAAATAATAAAAAGGCAGAAATTATAAATAGGTAACAGAAAAGCACAGCTAAAAAGAATGGACCTAGTTAATTAGCGAGCACTAACATGATACTCTTGTTTCTCTTAGTCCGCAACATTGTGGAAAGAAAATCATAAAGTAACATTGTTAAAATTTGCACTGAGAATCGTCTAAATGGAAGGGAGGGCATCATATACCAATTAATGCAGTTGAAATTATGCCGCAGACAATAGGCACTGTGTTTGCGGCGAAGCGAGTACAAGTGAATGATGTGACGCTTATTATGGGCATATGGGATACTGCAGGCAGTGAAAAGTAAGTACAATCGCTACGATGTGCCTTAAAATTATAAAATGTTAAAAAAAACATGTCATATTGTTATTAACTTGCACTGTTATCATTAATAATTAGGTACGACGCAATGACAAGAACGTATTATCGTGGTGCCAAGGCTGCTATAGTATGTTATGATATTACAAAATCGAGCACATTCCAAAGAGCAAAACACTGGGTGAGAGAACTTAGAAGCATCGAAGAAAATTGTAAAGTATATCTTTGCGCTACCAAGAAGGATTTGTGCGACGAAAGCTTCGTGTCTGACGATCCAGATATGCAGAATGTTGTGGAAAGATATGCGAGCGGTACACAGACTAAACTTTTCGTAACATCCAGCAAGACGGGGGAGAACGTAGGTAAGTAAATTTTGAATTGATAAATTTTAATCATTTTCCTTGTGTTGTAAAATATAATTATTGCATTTATTCTTTACAGTCGAATTGTTTGACGAAATTATACAAGATTTTGTTTCCAATCCAGAAAATTTGCAAAAGGTAGAAGAAGCAATTATTTTAAGTAGAAAATCTGAGAAAAGGTATTGCTGTACCATCTAACGAAATCAGTATCGATACTCAATCCATCCTTTTATATTCTCTCTTTTTTGTATTGGATAATTTATCTCAGATAATTACGATAATCGTAATACGTAATGCAATAGATTTTAATATTAACGACCAATGTGATATTGTTTTGCTCAGTAATAACTGGGAAAAGCTTAGAAGTGTGTGTATGCAATGTTATTAGCATAGCACGATATAGCTTCGCATTGGATTAGATTTTTCAGCAGACAGTAAATTTCTAGAAAACATGAAATAATTTTTGTATAATTGATATTATTACGCAATATACAATTGAAAAATATTCTTATAAATGGCCCTGGATTATTTAAAGTTAGCTTCTTATATTAGCAAGTGATAAGATTTGATTTTGATTATTTATAATCATATTTATATTATTGCAATTGTGATAAAATTCAAGAGATAATATCATGTGATAATATCCTTGAATGTATGTGCCTTTCAAATTTTCTCGTATCAAATCTCAAAGCAGACTTTGTACTTATTATATAGAAACTTAAAATCATTTTATTTTTCTTAGAACCTCTGGATAGATTAGAAATTGGTAATTTTTTTTAAATCTTGTTACAGAAAATATCAATAGAAATCAGATATTAATAAACAAAAAAATTTTTTATTTTAACCAATTTTATTAATTTATAATTATTTGTTTGAACTGATCACAGCAGGACTTTGTTAAATAAGAGAGTTAATATATCAAATAATTTAAATTAATTTTTTACAATTTGTTGCTCTATTAATGACTATTGTGAAAAGTATGATATACAAAATTCTCTGGCTTGTTCATAAACGCCAAAGAATATGAATCCGCCTATAGTAAAGCCAGTTACTCTCGGAAGAAAACCAGCGAACAATCTGAAAATATCACTCTGTTGAAATATCAAGAATTTAGAAAAATATATATTTTGCATTCCTCACCCTTTAATACCATGGTCTCTATAAACCTCTCTCAACATTGTTGATATTTTAACTTCTTCTTTTTCTGCTGATGTGCTGGATAACATAATTCTAGTCTTTGCAACGTCCAATGGTGTTGTTATGGCAGCTGATATACCGACTAAGAAATCAAGAAATCAAGAATATTAGAAACTATATAAATAATAAATGTCACAGTTTTAAGTGAAATTAAATTTTACTGAATAATATGCGAGTTCTGAATTATTACCAGATGCAGATCCACAAGTAGCACCTTCCAAGGGCGTGCATTCTCGTTGTATTTGTCGGGTCCAATAAAGTTTGAAATATTCCCATAATGGCATTTGAATAACGCCGAACGGTAAATCTCGAAGAACAGTACTACCATAACCGCGATACAATGTTCTTAATCTCAATTGATGTGTATCGGATAAGAGGGCCTGTTTCCTCTGTTTGATTACCTCAACTGGTACCCGAACCAAACAGGCAGTCTACATATAAAATCGAGCATTTTATTGTATGAAATTTCCAATATCGGGCGAGACATAATTTATAGGAAATAATCTTGTCATTATGTGCTAATAAGAGATTTGCTCAATACGATCAGCAATTACTCACTACTTCAGAAGATGATGCTGCGACCATGTGTATAATGGAGTGATACTGATCTGGTATATATGGTTGCGAATACTGTTTTATTCCTTCATATGTGATAAAAAATATAGCAGCTAAAACAAAAACTAATATTAGAAACCAAATGTTCTTAATACAATTGTTTTCTTTTTTATATAGAGACTAATAGTCAAACTTTGGCATATTATATCGTCACATATAAAGGAAATATATTATTGAAAATATATTATTAATATATTAAAATATATTACTAATGAACATAGATTCAGAAATGCTTCCTTGTGGAATTATTTTGGAAACATCATTAATGTTCATCCTTTATATGTGAGGAATATGCCAAAGTTTATGTTTCTGAAATCATTTCATAAGAAAGTGTTGAATTCATATTTATATACTATATTTTCGTTTTTAAGATGTAAAGAATATATTTTCAAAGTTTAATCATATTTCTTAATTTCATCTTATTAAATTGTACCTGATGGAGCTGAACCTAATACCACTGGACCTACGCCCTTGTACAGTTGTTTAAAACCGCCGGATTTAAAAAACCCATGTTGGCTCTGCAAGCGTGTTTTAAGTGTGTCCAATGGGAAAAGTGTCACGTCACAAACAATCCCTGCAAGAGCACCTGACTGGTGTCAAATAACGATTATTTTCTAGTAAGATCAAGTTGATCTCAGTGCATGGAAACACTTAGAAACATTCAAGCTGACAATGAGCGATCTTATTAAGCGATCTTATCTACTTATTTATGAAAAAATAAAATCTCATGAAAATTAATTTGCAATATACACGATCTTGGAGTTAATCAACAAAGTTTATAAATAATTAATGGACGATTAACAACTGGTAAATGAAGCATCAATGTATATAATTAGCTGATAAACGAACCGATACTCACGATAAATGATGTGAACAGGATGCTTCGTTTGGAGAGGTTCGACACGGATTCTTCTTGTTTATGAAACATCTTCGTACCGCGCTGTGTTCCGCTTTGACGTTGGACCCAATTAACAGAAGGACCTCGAGAAACGTCATCGAGCTGATAAGCGGAAAAGTGGTCCTGATCAAAAGACTACCTCGTGTCGCGCACCAAATCTTTCAGTATAGAAAATATTCACACGATCACATGACGATCGGCATTGGTGATTACTATCGAATGTTAAATAATTTGAGTGTGTGTTCCGCGTGCTTCTCGAGATCCGCACCATTCATCATGAAGCGATCAACGCGAATGATGTAAGCCGGTGTGAAAACACGTGTTCTGTACACATTACGTAAAGCGCTTGAATCAGCCCATCGTCTGCTCTCGAAATCGAATCTAACCTCTCAAAAATAAAAGAAAAGTTGAAATTAACCCCTAAAAACTACGGTTTGCAAGCCATTTTCATTGTTTCTTTTGTCATCGAACTACAATATGTATAAATCTAGAAAGAAAGGAAAATACATAAGAAAGATGTTAAAGCTAGTAACGCATAGAAAAATATAAACAGTAAAACTTGAGCAAATTGACCAATCATAGACAAGAATTTTAAAATGGTTATACATGCTGATAATTCTCAACTTGATTGGCGGATTCATTAAATAATTTTTGACTACAGTGAATTTGAAATGATCGATTAATATTAAGATCATATCATATAATATGATCATGAAATCAAATTTGATTAAAAATGTTAAAAAAAAAGATGTATGAAAAATTAAGTTATTTATTCACTTTTTGTGGAGACTAACTTTTTATATATTTATATTTTCAATATATCCTTTAATATTAATTATAATTGAAGCGAAGATTATTGTTGTTAATCCAGTCATGAAGTCTCAAAACTATATTAAATATTTCTCTTTTTTATTATAATGATAAAAAAAAAACCAAAAGAAAAAAATTATGTGCCAATCTGACAAAAAGGCATTGCTGTGCTATCTAAATCAGTATTGATACTCAGTCTATTCTTCTACATTTTCTTTTTTTATACTAGAAAATTTATCTTAGATAATTACAATAATTATAATACTTAATATTTAATATTTTAATATATTACGTCTTAAATGCAACCATTGAATGAGTTCATAAAACTTTCTTAATTTGTCCAACTTGTCCTACAAACTTGTCCAATCTCACGCGTTAATCCGAATCCCAGTTCGGATGTGAGTTTTAGGATCTTGAACTTTCGGAGAAGGAGCTTCCGTGCTTGTTGTCGTCTGCTGCCGTTGTTTTCGCATCATGCGCAAATTGTCAGAAATGATCCTCACCAGTTCAAGTACCGCCGAGATGTCGAGTGAAGACATGCAGCATTGAAAGAAAGAGAGGGAAAGGAAGATAAAGAGAGGAAGAGAGAAAGAGAGAAACGCGAGGAAACGTCAACAAAGAAACTGGTATCAACGATGCAGCAACGGCCGAGTCGGTAGTAGACTAACATCGGAGAGAGTCATCGACCATTAGATCGAAGTCGATGATGCGACGCGATGGAATCTGGTCGACGTCTCCAGGGACTCGTGAGAATACCAAAGTGAAATCTCTCATGTGATGATAAAAAATCGGAGTTATCTGTCGTATTGAATGATTGATAAGCCCTGATGTGATGACGTCGGTGTTCATACCTTCGACACGCGTGTAAACCGATATCTAAGAATGACACAGGGTATTCAACGAGTACATGATACGAGCACGTAGCTGTGTAGTACATAGCCGATGGGAAACACGCATATTCGTTGACAGTGCTACTAAAAAAAGGAAAAAAAAAGTTGAAATAGCTGTCGACTTGTGATATCTATGTCTCCCAGAAGATCCAGACTATCTGAATACGGATATATAAGGATATATAACATCAAGCTTGAAAAAGTAATAGCGTAAGAGGGGAGCACTCATATCTTGTTTTACATGCATGCCCACTCACTAAGAATAAACTTACTAATTTTATTAACGCTTGACGCAAGATGTAAATATGCGCCACACCTACAAGGAGCTTTCTGAAGTTAGTGCGACTAACTGACGGCTTAACGATTAAACCGAGGCTTCCTCTGATAAAATGCACGAGAATAATGATACTAACGATACGAGAGAATACAATACAACAGATGTCACTGAATCTATTTTGTACACTATTCTGGTGAATGATCTTACGACAGTTTCCACAAGCATGGGAAGTACGGTCTATAACGATAGTGTATCCACAATGGCATATGTAGAGTTGGACAGCGAGAATAACCAACGATTATGGAATTTATCTAAAACCACTCTAACATCACTGTCTGATCCCACGGCAATTCCGTTTAACACCACAAGAAGCACCACAGTATACACATCGACAACTGAATCTTTCGATGAGTTCGGTCCACCGGAAGGAGTAGAATATATTTTTGTGCCACTTGGTGTGGTAGTCTCTGTTATTATACTATCAGCTGTGGTATGGGTAGCGATATCACTTTTGTCATTACCTTGTGACGTTTTTCTCCTTGCCCCATTTTTATTTTTAAATACAGCGCTATGCAAGGGTATAGATAATACAAATATAATGACGCTTCTCTCTCTCATTCTGAAGATCTACATATGTAACAGAAGCATCCCATTTGATTACGTTGCAATTGAACACGGTCATTCACATCGATCGGCTTAGAAATTTTCTAATGGACTATCTATTAAAAGATTTAATATTTAATCGATGTTAAATCGATCAATTGGCACCGTGGACAATCGGGTGTTTCTCATGCATTGTCTTATGCGTTATCTTAGAAATGCAAATAAATGCAAAATACAAAATAGTTATATGATTTTAGCAAATACTTTTTCTAAGCTTTATCCTGCTTTTCTTGTTAGGTAAAAACACGATTTTTTGATGCTTTAATGTCTAACTCCGTTTAAAGGTACTGATTATATCGAGAAAACGCAAGTTGGAGCGTTTAAGACATAGACTCATGCCAATGTACAACTTTGACCCCGGGGAAGAAGAAGAGGACGATTGGGAGACGGAACTGTTGGACGAGTGTTATAGCACACATCAGAGACGAGTGTGTAAGATTATTTATGCTTGTGATTCGCGCGAGTACTTTGAAAATAAGAACGAATTGATTTTACAGCAAGGATACCAATCCATGGATACTGAAGAGAACGCAGAGTTATTCGGTGGTCATTAACAGTACATTTTTCGCATGGCATTTGTGTCATTTTTTCATCAAGCTATGACTATCATAGGCTAAATACATTTATTTATTGTAATTCTTATACATATGAAGTTCTTAAGCATACTGGAATTTACGACTTCAGCTGAGAGCTATATTTTTTCTTATACAAATTCTCAAAGACCAAAGTTTTATAAAAATAATAGTGCATTTATTAGAAATATTTAATAATTCCAATTTTTTCTTCAATTTTTATAGCTTAAATCATTTAAGACTATACATCGAATTAAATTTTAATCGTTTTATTAAAATTGAATATACGTGCACAAATTTTAAAGTATTATCTATTCTATATTATGTATACAAAACACATTGACTTTTACGCAACTAATTTCATAATAGAAAATATACATATGAAATTTTTCACAACTTCATTATTTATGTAATACATTTTCATGTTCATCTTTTCCTCCTTTATTTTCTTTTTTTGGAATATTTTCTTCCCTCCTATTCGAAATAACTTTTTCTATACGAATAAATTTAAGAAATAATCTTATTACATAAATGAATTATAAATTACATTATTGCTTGTACAAAGTATTGCCACAGTTTCACGATAAAATATAGTGTTTTTATTCGAAGTATCGAAAGTCTCTGGGAAAATATTGACGCAAAATTAATAAGAGTACTTCGAGTTTATTTACTTTAATACAAATTTGACATTCACACATATGCTTGCCTCAAAACGACAGTAATATACATTCATTAAGATGATGTAGTTATTAGTATTAATTAGAAAAGAATAGTCCCTGCATATGTTACATACAAGAAGTATTTTTTATCTTTCTCTATCTCTTACAATATTCAATTGGTATGTAATTCTTTCCTTTTTTTGGCTTTGTGAAATTGTAATATGCATATGAAGGAGAAAAGGAGGTAGCAAATATGTGACACAATACTCTCTATACTGCGTGTTTCTTAGAAAAAGAAATTATTAAACCTCACTTCTCGGGCAAATTAAAAAACTGTTTCGAGATCTGCATTTTAATCCAGTCTTTTTTACTGTTAAAGAAGGTTACACATTTATGTCTTAGCACTTAAAAGTATGATTTCATTTAATGATTAATAGTGATGTCAAGTAAATATAAAGAACTTAATAAATTTATAACACAACTTTTGTATCCAACGTTTCTTTTTGAATTTGTCCGCGAGTGTGGCAATGTGCATCGCAAATTGGAATTTGTAAAAAAAATTCCAAAAATCGGTGAAGACAATGTCCAGCACTTCAATATTAGTTCAAAATTTCCGAGGTTAAAATAAGAAAAGTGAACCTTGAAATGATTGAACGCAATTTGATTTTCTATTTAAAGATCTTGGAAGGATAAATCAGCTGTGTTAGTTTCGTCCTCCCCTATTGCATCTCCGGATGCTTCAATTCTCCTCTTCCTCCTCCTCTTCTTCTTGCTCGTCTTCATCCTCACCAGTTAGCTCGGGTTTCTCTTCTGTCTTTTTCGGTCTACCGCGACCGCGTGGCGAAGTAGTTGTGCCTTTTGGTGGTCCTTGCTGTAAATTCAATATTTTCATGAAAATAATGTATACAAATAATAGTTTACAATTTGAAGATATCTTCATTAGATTCTTAAAAAAAATATATATATATATCTATTACTTTTCATATATATTCGTGTACCTACCTTCTTCTTGTGGGAACCTTTAGGTCTACCTCTACCCTTTTTAACGGGACCAGGTGGTGCGTCATCCTCGTTATCAGATTTCGCGGGGCGTACCGCGTTATTTTTTTCCGCGGCGGGCCTCCCTCTCTTTTTGGGTTCTTTAACAGCGTTCTTATCCGTCTTGGATGGTCTTCCTCTTTTCTTTTTTTGCTCCTCCACCACAGGCGAATTGTCGTCTGACATATTTATTGTCCTGTCTCACTATAACATAAGATCAACTAGATTATCTCCCAATCGCTTTGTCTCTTTTCAGATTATGTCGTCTCCGATAAGATGAACCACGAAGAGTAGCAAGAAATATGAAGAATTCTGAGTCATCTGTATATACATGTGTATATGATATGTGATTAACGTGAAGCAAGTACGTCTCTTGATGTTTATCATCAAGATATGAAAAAATATACCCTTTATATGCGGATAATCCCTCAATTTGAAAAACTAGCGACCTATATAAGCAAATAAATAAATAAAAGTATGATAAAATAAATGTTATATTTGTCAGTGCTCGTATTCCTCAGTGCTCGTAGAAGCGCGGAACACGAATGTAAAATGCATATCTTTTTCGCAAAGATGCATTAACCTTACATGAGATAAAACGAACTCGTGCATATCGCTGTTATTGAACAGAGACAGATATAACAGAGTTTTCGAATCTCTCAGTAGAAAAAAACCAGCAAAAATAAAAGCGAGCGTGACTATCGATCTTCCGATATTTTCCTCTCGCGCGCTTGGAAGAATATCGAGGATCGCGCCAAGAGAGACAGAGACGAAGAGAGAAAGAGAGAGAGAGAGAGAGAGAGGAAGACGGAGTGCGCAAACGCGCCGCGAAAATCGGTACTATCAATTACGCGCCTTGCAAGTTTACGAGATGAGATACGCGGCGCGCAACGTTATAATTTGCGTCGCAAAACGCCTCCTCTCCTCACCACCCCGCATCGCATCGCATCGCATCGCATCGCATCGCATCGCATCGCATCGCATCGCATCGCATCACATTGCATCGCGGGGTGACGCGCGTGATCGAAATAATTTATTCCCAACTCGAATAATTCGTCCATCGTAACTCGAATTCGTCGTTGGGCGAAATTTTATTCGTTCGCTCGCTCGCTTGCGCGCGCGGAGGAACGTCGCGCGAATATCGGTCGCGTCGCGGAACAACACAGCGTCTATCTCTCTCTGAAAGTTCCGCGCCCGCCATTTTCAAAATTTGCAAACGGTTTTCGCGTTGAGTCCTGACGGCGAGTCCGCGACGAATCGATCGCGCGGGACGAAATCGCGATTGTTTTTTCTATCGCAAATTTTTCGCGGTGATTGTAAAATTTAATCGCTTCGCGCGGGGAGAATCCTCGGGGTACTTCGATGTAAACGAACGCGTCGACTCGCGCTGTCAGGGACGCCATAAGAGAGCGAGAGGCGCGAATCATGGCGTCCGCAGACCGTGTGTGCCTCCGCGGCGGCGGTGGCGGCGGCGGCGGTGGTGGTGGCGGCGTCGGCGTCCGTTCGTGCCGTTTCGGAGGCCGCGGCGCGGTTTCACCGCGCCGATAATCTCTGCAAGTAACAACGCCACGGCGACGAAGCACGCGCGAAAAAATCCATCGTAGATCCATCGAATTTTCCACCGTGTTTTTATGGCGCGGTCGCCTGCACTTACCGCCCAAATAAATAATAGTGTCCGTTCGGCAGCGGACGTGCAAGTTAATTACGTCAAAGTTGGAGCCGCGTACAAATGGCACGGCCGCACGGAACTCACCAACTCTGTCGCGCACTCACTCACCTCACCTTGACTCGGAAGGGAAATTATATTCGCGTACGTCGTCGTATGGGGTCCACGCACTCTCGCTCTACGCGAAGAACAAAGGGTGATATCGCGCTCCTTCCCGTCACCGGTTGGCAGCGCGCGTCGTGGCGTGGCGGCGGTCGGTGGTGTCTCGCGGTCACGTCACGTCACGTCGCGTCGCGTCGCGTCGCGTCGCCTCGTGCGGTACCCGTCGTCGCGTCGTATTATCGTATCGTATTATATATCGTAACGTATATCGTATCGTATCGCGAGACCACCGTACGACTCTTGGACGAACGCAACTCCCGCTTGCTCGCGTCGTCGTGTGTGCACTCGGCACGCTTCCCGATTCTCGTTCGCTTCACCGCCGTATCGCGTATATTAGCAGGCGCCGCTGTGCCCGCGCACTCTATACACACGTACATGACGTGCGCGCGCGCGCGCACTACACACACACACACACACACATACACATTCGTATGCACGCGACGCCCCGCCGAACGCACAGCCTCCACTCTCCTCGCACGTTCGCCCTCGGTGGCGAACCGGCCGGCCGGCGGCGACGGCGGCGGCGGTATATTCCGGCTCTCGATCTGCGAAACAAATGGGGGAGCAAACAGAACTGGAGTAGAATTGTCGCCGCTGCCGTCGTTGTCGCGACGTACGTAACGATTTGCATGCATTACACACACAAATACACATACACACACACACGCGCGCGCGCGGAGCAACTTACCGGGAGAATATCAAGCCGCAACTGACCGACGACGATACACTGCGATGCGATTCGTCGAGCCGTGGTTCGCGAGCCAGCCCGAAGACCTCTCTCTCTTCCCCTTCCAGTGGCCCCCGGTCCGAGCGCGCCAACGAATTCCCGCCAAAAGATCGCCCCGCGCGCGCGGGTATCAAGAAAAAAATCGTCGTTTGTTCGTTCGTGCGCCGCGCCACGCCGCCCGCCGGGAGCTCGCGACGCGACGCGGTGCCCCGAATCGCGGCTCGCCTCCCTTCCTCTTTTTTTTTCCTTTTCTCTCCCTTCTTCCTTGCCATCGCGAACGACGGGGCAGGATCCTTCGCGCCAGGAATTTCGCGCGCGCGGGCTCGCTCGCGATCGGCGATTTGCCGAGAACGCGTGCGAACGGTTACAATGGCGGGCGGCATCCTCGCAACTCGCTGTTTATTGCGTTTACGCGTCATACGCGGAGGTGGGATGACGATCCGCTCCTCCTCTTCTCCCGGGCGGATATTACGCGAAAATTTTATTAATAACAACGAAAATTGAGAGGATTACGCATGGGGTGGGCATTAATATTAATAACAACCTGCATCGCGTGGATCGATACATATGTACGTGTATTTGTATGTGTGTGTCTGTGGGATTATGCAAAGGAAAAAAATCGCGTATGCACGACGAACGTCGAATAGTTACGAGCCAGTTGTAAGCGCGTTGGAGAGGACATTGACCTCCCGATTCTCCCGATGTGTTTTCGACGACTTGAATTTTCCACGTCGATATGGCAGGAATAATTTCAGTCCCGAATCAATACCGACAGTCAGATTTATGCGTGCATCACAAATTGTGGCTTCGTGAATGAAAGAATATTGTACAACATTGAAAATTCCGTTATGCCATAACTCGAATACGTTGATGTAACGGAATTTTTTTTTTCAACGTGATCGGCGGATTGTTTACTCGAGAAACGGCAAATAATTTATTTCCCTTCTCATTTATATTCACAAGTCACAGTTCGATGAGTAATCCTTATCGATTCATCCAAGTGTTTTCGACGAACGAGAATATGTTTACCAAACATCTGTTGATATTTTAATTCATGCTTTGTGAAAATAAAGGCGGATCGTTCTCGATCGTGTTCCTTTTAAAAATTTCATGAACGCCTTCACACTTTCGTTATCTCTCTCATGAGAAAAAGATAACAAGGTAACGCACATCTGTAAAAATAATATCAACGGACAATGAATGCAGGACCTAATGCTGAATCCGGAGTATTTAGTATCGTATATCTAATTAGAATAAAAAAAATGCCAATCGACGCAGAGACCCGGACAACTATGGCGTCTAATTGACGATGCACTGATGACGTATAATCAGAGCGAAATTCAGAATGCGGTGAGAAAAAATTGACGTTGGATAAAAGTGTTCTGTCCTTTTTTACATTCATATTCACGGAATATTTTTGTTATAGCGCATTTCATTTAATGCATACATGGCGGTTGACTCGCACGCGATTCTTCTACACCTGTTCACACCGTCAGTGCCTGCCTTCTGACGAAGCGTCACGCGTCGTGTCTGTTTTCTTTTCGAATCCGAACAGGAGCATGGAAAATGCACACCCGAAGCGCGAACGGATCGCATACTATCGATCCAATGCTCCTTCGTCCCTCAACGTGACGTAAGATGAACGAAAGAATGAGCCCGTAATTATAAATAGGCTTCGTTCTTTTCAAGGTTAGCTGGCGTTATCGTAATGCAAGCTGGAGTTATCTCTTTCGTTCGACGACGAGCAGATCGATTACGATGCAAATGCCTTGCGGTGAGTTCAGTAAGATATTTCACCGTGCTGCGTGTAAATTTACCGAGCGTATTGTGATTGGTTATAGTATAGAAAATTTCTGGATCGCGATAGTGAAATTTTCAACCTTTAGAAATTCCCTATTTTGTAGCCAATCAACACATCCGAAGAAATTTATAAGTGAAGTCATTAAAATGTAACAAATTTATCAATACAAATAAATCATTAAGAAATTAATATCAAATTTAATAATATTTTTTAAAAATTGCTTATACATATACACACACTCACAAATATTATTAGTGAGTTCTATTTTATATTGGAATCTTTCAAAAAGGAGTGGAAATATCTCTGCTGTAAAAAAGATATACATATAAGAACATATATATTTTTTGTTTAATATGGAGCGCGCGCGCGCGCGTAAGAGAGAGAGAGAGATAGAGAGAGAGAGAGAGAGAGATGGGAGCATTGACTATGTTACGATTGAATACAATCGATTGTTCAATAGTATTAATTATATTATAATTGACGACTCGAACATTATTGTTAATTGATATCTATAACTACATTAAATATATTTTTTTCGTTTTAACAATAAAATTAAGAAAAAAGTAATGTGCCAACATCACACGGTGTTCCCAGGCGGTCACCCATCCAAGTACTGACCGCGCTCAACGTTGCTTGACTTCAGTGATCGGACGAGAACTGGTACTTTGAACGTGATTTGAACGTTGGCGTGACTATCTCTTTATCCTGAAATAGTTTCATAGAATTCTGACAACTTCAGACTGCGGAAGAAAAGAATAAGAAATAAAATATGACCAGCTTTCATTGGATGTTATTATACGCATGCGCGTAAAATACTTTATACACATGTATGTGCCGTACAAAATTTATTGAGAGATCATACGACAAATAATGTCAAAATATTTGACTATGTCTGATTAAAAAATTAAAAAATATATTTAATGAGAAATAAGATCTTCAGATTATACAAATTATTTCTTAATAATTGTAAACAAATACATTAAAATAAATAAATTAATAACTGTTAAATGTAATTTAATAACTTGTTAATATAGACTGATGTATTATTTTACAAATATTATTACACAGATTTATTAAGATATAAAATTTGTTGCCACGAATTGCATATTTTTTTATCTCTTGGAAAGCTATAATTTATTTCATTAATAACTATAATTATATTAAAATAAAATTTCCAGATTTACATTAATATTTATTATTATTTTTTATATAATGTATTAATATATTATCTATGGAATGAAATTTTTCTGTTTTTTTCCGAAATCAATTCTTTTTTTCCAATCATTTATATTTATTGTATTTTTACAATACAACAATGTATAATTATTATTGAAATAATCAAGGATACAGTTATATTTATACATTTTTCCCATAGCAAAAATAATTAATTGCACGGGTTAGTTTCACTATTTTCGATTAATTGATTTAATTGACTAATTAAGTGTCAACCATGATTGATCCAATCTGGTCAATTCTATTTGATGACAAGATTAATAAATTTCAATGGAATAATTGATCGATTAAATTAATCAAAAATAGTGAAACTGATCCTTACAATTGATTACAATCCTCCATCTCTATATTCCTCTATCTATGATCGGAACACGGCTCTAGGTGCAACACCTGTTCAGTGTTCATAAGTACCTAACTTCAGACATGAAGCATATATATGTGACGCGAAGCAACGCAAAGTGAATTATCGATACAAATGATTACACTGCATGTTAGAGGTAAGACATTCAAAAGAAAGGGAGAAAGCTATAAAAGGAGACATTGACGAGGTTATCTTGTTTTTTATATACCGGTCTTTTATATAGCGAGATGAGAACGAATTGGTACGACGACCGTTATGGTAACACAGGGCAACGCGGCGGTAACGCTTTAGAGGGGCTTACATTTTGACAGAGAATCGTCGTGACTTTTGATCGAGCAGGCATGTTCAGGTACTTTTGGGCCTTGGTGTGCTGGTACTTCAGGCCTTTCATAAAATGGTTTTTGCGGCATACCACGCAGATGTGCGAGCTGCAGAGGGTCTGCTACGGACAGCCGTCCGGGGCGTTGCGTACTTTAGGCGTCGAAAAGTCTCTCGAATTGTCGCGCGACGCGAATATTAGGACTCTCATCGCATACCTGAATGATATCGTCGATCACCGTGGAATAACGACAAAAACGGAGCGCAAGATCCTGGAGGATGCCATTAGAACTATATTAGTGACCAAAAGGATCAATCCCACGGCGCATCCGGATTTTGCCAAGTCATTTGGCAAGTGCGTGGAACTGATTTGGGGTTACCGTCAACTTTGCGTGGAATGCGAAGAACTCAGAAAGACCTCATATAACGCAGACAATCCACATCATGAGCAGAAGCTATTGAAGTTGTGGAATCTCCTGATGCCATATGAACCCTTGGAAGCGAGAGTAACCAAACAATGGCAAGAGATTGGCTTTCAGGGGGATGATCCCAAGACTGACTTTCGTGGAATGGGAATTTTAGGACTAGAGAATCTCGTTTACTTTGCTCAAGAATATCCCAGTATGGCTACGCATGTATTGTCTCATTCGAATCATCCACGTTATGGCTACGGGTTTGCTATAGTTGGTATAAATCTTACAAGTATGGCTCTGAAATTGTTGAGAGATGGCAGCGCTAAGACTCACATATATAATTCCTCAAAGACCTTGCCGACGATACGTGCCTTTCATCAGTTTTATTGTTATCTATTTTATGAATTTGATGGATTTTGGATCGAATCCAAGCCTAGTAATATGATGGAATTCTCATCAATACAAGAAAAGTTTGAAAACAGTATCAGAATGGCATTAGCTAATCCATCAACTGTTTTCAGGATAAATGCGGCAGTTGACAATATTTAACATGAATACAAATTGCCTTTTATTTGTAAGAAACAAGACCAAAATGGCTATATAAGGAATAAGTACAATTTTTAAACTGGCATGAAGAACTCATTTTTTGTTTTATGTTTTCACAATGTCAACTTTATTGTGATATTAAAATAGCATTTAAGTGAATAATTGATTTCTATATTATAGCAATCTTTACTTTTTCTTCTATTATACAATGTAATTAACGTCTTGTTGTAATATATGTTTTACTATAATTTTATTGTAACATTAATAGATGCCTATATGTTTAATTTCTTTCTTAAATTTATATAATTTTATATTTAGGACAATTTTTAGTCTATGTGTTAACTTATATAACAAAGTTAGAACTACTGCGTACTTAGTATACTGCATACTTATTTATTTAAATAATTTTATGAAAGTTGTAATTTTTGGATTATTAGTAATAGATCTATATTATACTAATAGAGTTTAAATTTCAGTCTCAAAATTAGATTTGCCAACAATAATTTTATGGATATTTTCACAATAATTGTGCATTATAAATTTTATTCTTTAATAATTGAAAGTATATTTATGAATATCATAAGAGCTAAAGAAAAGATATTGAACTAAACAAATCCATTGTATAATGGAAGAATAACATTAATTTAACGAAATTAAAATATTTAAGTTTATGTGGGAATGGTGTAGGTAAAATTTAGAAGAGTTTGTTTTCAGATAATTATGAAAATATAAACAATTGTTGGATATGTTTGATATAGCACTGCGTGTCTGATGAAAATTTATGTTGTTGCACATGAATGAAGAATTGATATTAAATTGATTAAGTTTTGAAGGTTAAAATCTCAAAAAATTGACATCAAAATTTTGGCAAAGATATATTTCTGTACAAAATTTATAACACATTATTGCTACAATTTATTTATGTTTTTCTTTAATTATATTTTTAAATAAAATTAATTTATTTACAGATTGATTGTTCATAAATTATACATGAACAAATAGCAAATAAAATCTGAAGTAGCAAGCATATAATCCATATAATTAATTAAATGCATTGTGGCTAGTAATTTGACAATAAAAGTCTTTTTTTAACAAAACAGACATGAGAATCCATTTCAGACATACAACATATCTTTTAGTAAATTTAATAATATCACTTTCGTCTTTTTTAAATTTATTTCTGGTTATGAACAGCTTCTCTACATCATTATTTACTACATAACTGTTTGGATATATTTTAAGTAAAAAAATATATTTTTCTAGATTTTAGTTAGAATTAATATATTTGCATATTATTATAAGGAAAACATTCATTTTCATTTTAAGATGATTTTATAAATATTAAATATATTCTCAATTTTGCAATCATTAAACATGTACTAAATTTTGTAATTATATGCGAAATAGCAAAATTTCTAATTATTTAACAAATGATATTTGATAATTAAAAAACATTTTCGAAGAAACATAGAATTTTTAAAAAGATTAACAAATTTAAATATCTTTCACATGTGAAATAATGCATAATCAAAAATTACTTTTCATACTGCAGACAACAATCTAGTAGTAGAGAAACATTCATGATCTATTTTTGGCGAATCAGATGAATAAAGCTAATCTTCTTTTTCCTCCGCTGCTTCATTTGGATACATATATTTAACAACTGTTATAATAATACACAGCACCCCAATACAGATGCTGGCTAGCTTGAGTATCCAGGGATTCTCATATAGAAAGACTAAAATTATTTTTGAATACTCGTCACTAGAAATACAATAATGCATTAATATATAAATTTATACATTTAAATTAAGACAATAAGGCTTAAAGTAATGACATATATCTTTAAACTTACAAAGAATTTGGAGGTGGAGGTACCTCTTCTGGTCTTATATCTTTGTACCATTCTTGAGCGAATGACATAAGGGAAGCAATATCATATGCTCCCATGTCATAGCGATACATTTTGCCATGTCTAAAACTGTATAAGATGTATTGATACACTGCGTTTTATTTTTTTATTTGTATGTTAATTTATTAATACGTTTATAGTATAAATATTACTCATAAAGTAGCAAGCATTGATCTACATTTACTTACAGTATAAATTGCGGAGTAGTATAAACGTTAAATCTCCTGGCTGTGGAAACTCCAGTTGTGGCTTTATTAACAAGTGCTACATTTATCTTCTGCTTAAGCTTAGCACCGACCGTTTCCCACCTCGCAATCATGCGCAAGCACTGTACGCAATCCGTGCTGTAACTAACATTATACATCGTGATTAGAATATACTGCCGTAATTTATAACATGTGAAGTGATATGAGTGATTATTGTATAATGTAGACGTAAAAACTGAAACTTACAACATAACGAACCAATCGCCGGTTGTAGCACCGCTGCTTGCTTGGGTTAAATGCTCAAATGTATCGTCTGTAAGTTCCTTTACTGTAGGTTCTCTATGATTCGTAAAGGAATCTACTAAATCTTCTACCTCTATGTCTCCTAGGGAAGAAGATGCAACATGAAAAAATTTATAGTACAACTCCTATAGATTTATAAATTATTCAGAAATAAGAATATATAGCAACATATCATTGAATAATAAAGTATTATGTATTATTATAGAACAATTAAATAATCAAAAGATCTATATGTGATTTCATTTTTATTTCTTGTTAAATCCATACCATCATATAATAAAGGAAGTCCATGTCGGAAGAACAGCACAACTGGTTCTTTAGTAGTACTATATAATTGGAGTAATTGACTATCAACAGCTTTAACAACCCATGCTGACAAGGCATCAACAAATTCTTCACGATGATGGGCTAACTTTTTCTCAAAGTGATCACACTCTGGACAATTTTCTTCTGTCGCTGCAAATAAAATTGTTGCCATTGGCATATTTGTAATATTAAAGGCCAATTAAAACTATTCTATATTCTAAATAATTATATTATATAGTCATAGTCAAAAGGTCATAGTATTTCATAGTTATATAATTGTAGGAAATATATATAAATTGAAACCAGACTGCCCTATAGAGAGATTAATAACAACTAATTATAAGATCGTTGCCCAAAGAGAGACATTGTGAAACTAAAAACAAGTTGTAAACAAGAATAAGATAACAAACTCCTTTTATCGACTAACTTAGAAACATAAACAATCAAGAAATAATAAGTGAATAAAGTATGAATAATATATAATTAATTTCTTTCATTAGGAAAAAAATTTTTCTGGTTTCTTCCCTTTCCCTTCAGGAATCATTCAGGGAAGCAAATAAAAAAAAATAAAAGAAATAAACTTACTAAATAGAACGATCACATATTTTTCGAGTTTTATAAGATTCAGGAGTTCCTCGTCGTGCACTCTCTGCAGTTTCGCGGCGTGCACGCCGGAAAAGATGCATATCGCTATTAGGAGCACTAACATCGTTTACGTCCAAGGAATGCGACCAGTTATGTACAATGTGATACATACACACCGGCAACCTGTACACGTCGGAACAACGCGTCACAACGCGTCGAGTTTTGATCAGCGGTGGTGGTAACGCTTTATGATCAGGGAGAGGAGTAGACGAGAGGGATGCAGGAGAGTGAGAGAGAGAGAGAAAATAGGAGGAGAGCATCGTCGTCTGTCACGTGACATCCGGCAGTGCGGCAGCCATATTGCGGACTAGATTTGAGATGCTCTGTCGAATATGTAAAGCCAGTGGATGTAATAAAACGCAAAAAAACGTAAGTAATAAGACCTTAGCATGGAAAGATGTAAGTAGTAAGACTTTAGTATCAAGCAAACTAATCAATCATGGCCAAGAATTTTAAATTAATAATCTTAAATTTTCGATAATTTTAAATGACTTTAATTGTAAGATTTTGACCGATTTGCTCATTATAGTTAAAGTTTTACTGTTTTTATAAACTTGTTTTTTCATCGCATTAAAATTTTCTTTCTCGCTTTTATCAAATCTCGAATATATATTTATTTCAAGTGTACATTAGTTCAGCTATAAAAAACAAATTTTCTATTTTTCTACTGTTATTAGTTTAATTTTGTATGGAATGTATCGTCAACCAATGTGGTATGGCACATTTCACGTCAGAATATACGTAAAAATGCAACAATCCCGCAATACAATTCACGATATTTGCAGGTTTTATATTGCTCTCATCCTCGTTTCTGTTCTCGCGCCTCCTTCGAGAAATACGTATTTATCGTGAATAAATTCTTATGCACCGCGTTTTTCAGTAACGTAAACGTAAGATCGTTAACGACAGAATTATTTTTACATGCGTATTGCGGTCGTAACAAATCGATGGCGAGATATAGTTTACGAAAAAAAAAAAAAAGAAAAGGGGGGAAAAACAAAAAAAATTGTAGTAACAGATTGAAGAGATTAATACAATTGGAAATAGAGGTACGTTGGAAGTACGAGCGGCATATAACGTTTTGTATGCTGATGAATCAATAGTCCGCTGAACTTTTGGCATTGGGGGAAAAAAAGGGCGCCGCGCCAATGATATGTAGTCAATAGATTTTGATAACCATCTCGTACATACGGGTCGCCCGAAAAGGGAAGGGTGAGATGTTAAAATGTAAAAAAAATGTTCACAGCGGAGCACCGAGAGTCTTATGAAAATTTGCATGCTCGTATTTGGGGATGGTCAACTCTCACAGTATGATATTACTTATAGTTGATCGTTAATATTTATGATTATTGTTATTTTGATATTTATTTTTGATATATACAGATATGTATGTTTACGACACAATAATACTTTTTATCTATTTATTTTTATTTCTTTTCATCTGTGTTATCATCTATTCATCTGTGTTCGATTTTTTATGTGGTTAGTAATTAAAACAAATATACTTTTGCAATATGTGATATCGCATTGTAAATATGAAGCATCTGTAATAATAAATTGATTTAACTGCACTATAAGCTAATTATTCAAATATTTATATATTTTTCAATTATTTTTGAATCCATCAGACTTATATGTGATAGTCATAAAACTTTATCTTAAGCTAATTTAATAATGTTTTTAATAATGCTTTTCATCGATAATAGCAATTTTTTTATTCTTTTGGTATAAAATTTTATTTTACGAGTTGAACACATAAACGATCGAAACATTTAACAAGTAATCTTTTTTATAGATCAATATTCAAAAGAACGATCGTGCTTCTACAGGTTACGAGAACAAAATTTTCGATAGTAAACTTGAAATAGAAAAAAGAGACACGCGAGAAAATTCATATTTTTCCCGCGTCTCTTTTTTATAATTGATTTTTCTGAAGATACATATATATCGCTAGTATGATAAATGCAAAATCAGATAATTTGTTATCGGTGGAACTTTTGTATCACGTTGCTTTCGTATCTTTCCAAATATTTTTGTTCAATTTATTTTATACATGCATGCGGATGAATGTGTACACACACACACACACACACACACACACACACACACACACATCATGTATACGCGCGCGCGCGTAATTCTGCATGATATTTTTCATATAAATCACTTATAATATTTAAGAAAAAGTTTCTTGTCGGAAATGTGAAAAAGTACACAGTACTTGTTAAAAGTACACAGTCGACGCTAATCGATAACATGAGAATTTATTGGTGCAATTATCTCGAGTCACTATTACTTACGTAAGAGATTTCACGTAAAGATATCTCACTTGAGATATACTGATCTCGACGAAATATTAATAATCGCAATACCTTATTATATAAAAATGGCAATGGAAAATTCATTTAATGATGACTTTAATAATATTGAAGAAAATTTTATATAATATCTAAAAACAGATGTACATATATAAAATAAAAATTATATGTATTATTTATAAACGATATTTAAAATTTCAGGTGAAAGTTTCAAACGTTTGGAACACAAACTAAGGAACTTTAATTGCGAGCTATTCATCGTACTTAATAGTTGGCGATCGCACCTCACCCTTACATCCCTTCGCATATCGTGGAGTACTTCCGGCATCCTCGGAGCATCCCCGCGCCTCGATTGTTCACTGTGGGTGAGCTGGCGGTCGCTACGCTCCTGATTAAAGGGGGTCGGAAGTCGAAGGTTGAAAGGAGAATAGGTAGGTATAGCGGCGTAGATAACGACGGCGGCACACGGCAACGCGTGCATGTCCGTAGTGAAAATCGTGCGCCGGTATGTCGGGGCGAACATCGGGACGTCGGCGACTACCGCAACCCTTTGGGATCGCACGAGAGTGCGGCAGTCGCGTGTACTCGTAGTCGCGAGGGGGTGGTCGACCACGGTTGAAGCGCCGTACGTAAGAATGTAATCGGCTCGGCGAGAACTATTCGCTCGCACGTCGTCCCCGTGGATCATCGTCGCGCTGTAGTGGCACGCGAGAAATCGTAATCGCGGGAGGGGGGGGCACGTCGCACCCCCGCCTCTTCTCGCGCGACAAGTACCTCTCGTCCCTTAAACGAGAAGTGCCGTTGAGGAGGAGGCGGTCGATCGTCGGTGTCATCGTCAAATCTCCAAAATCGATCTCTCGTTTACGCGCGTTTTACGAACTGGCATTGCACGATTACGATATGATCGTGCCGTCAGCTCCGGCTTGTTATTGATTATAAGACGTGAGGTATTGATCGGCTTGTTCCCTTGAGTGACGTGCACGTAGTATCGAATCGGTACTCGGCAGCAAATTTGGCACCGGAATCGATAGTCTATGCGGAGCTTGTCGGTCTCCTGGTTTCGCCACCGTTTCCTGCGAGCCGATATAAAATTTATATTTGATCGCTACGTGACTTGGTGACGAATCCGCCTATCTCTCGGCCGCTTGTTCGATTGAATAATATTACTGCACAAGTTGCTGCCGAGCTTAAATCGAGCTCTAATGGCACAAGATCGGCACAACGGGACGAAAGCAGATATCCTTTGATGGTGGTAATGCGGTTCGACGGAACGATCTCGTTTCAGCAATCTTGCACTTTTTAACTTGGCACTTTGCATGTTTAATTTCACTATGTGCCTTCGCGCGTTTGTACGTATGCTAACGAGAAGGGAAGATCGCGCGCGAGAAGTTCAAGTAAAACTTCGGAGTTTCTATTCCGATAGCGATTCCAATTTTGTAAAACTCGAACGTCATCTCTTTTTCATCACGGTCAGAAAATAGCGTCATATGTATCGTGTTACGCGTCGAAAACGCTTCTCACTAATAGAATACTGATAAGAGCAAAATGCGATAAGCCGAAAAACTGCAAAATTGCTTTGTGATATGCGAGCCGGGACGGTTTTAATCGGTACAACATGCAGAATAACGTGTCGCATAGTCGGTATAAGTAGTGCCATTTGTGGAGAACAACTCCCCCGGTTTTTATCTCACTTTCGCGATCCCATTTTTTCGTATTGCGGTCCCTCGGATGCAATCAACAGCTCGGAGGTTCGTATCTGGAAGTCGGTTTTATGGTCAATTGTACCGCTGAGTGCATTCGCGGATGTATTTATGGGCCGTGAGATGTGTTGTAGTTTGTGGTGCATCGCGTAAATCAGTATTTGAATACACGGATCACAGAGTAAAGCGTGATTGTTCCGTTCCATGTATATAAGTAAGTTAGATCATTGAATGTTGGTCCAAAGTGGACTCAGTTTATTCATCGTCCATATATGTGAGCAATCCATATATGGATTTGTTCCCAAGTTTGTCTTTTTTTATCTAGTCATATTTTCAGTTGATTTTTATTTTACAAACTATTATTTCTAAACTGTCAAACAAACAACTTTCTTTTTAATTTTTTTAATCCTTTTAAAAGCTAGACGAAATAATGTAGCAAATATAGCTCTGATAAAATTACTTGCATTTGTTTTCAATGTTCAGTTTAAATAATAAATCTTTTAAATAACAAATCTTTTTTTAAAAAAGTCACTTTTTAGATTTTTGAAAAACATTTCATATCCTTCGAATGAAGCATATATTGTTAAAAATTGAAAGTTATTCTTTTCTGTCTGATTATTATGTACAATTGCAGACACGTCAGTCGCCGTTTTAATATTTATTAATCTAAATTATAATTAGCTGGAGTAATAATAGAATATGATGTCTGATATTATATTGGTTGATATTTTTGATACTTAGAATTTTATTATTTTTGCCGATGGCTCTAATTATTTATGATTTAAATATAATTATAATTATGTAAGTTAAACATTTATTAATTAATGCCAATATTTGCCAATATTTTGAAAATAATGTCTTAATATTACTTAAATTAGATATTATATATAGGCGAGAGGAAATACGAAATATTTTGCTATAGCGTAGATACCAATCTGATGCACGACAAAGCAATAAAATATACAATAGAAGTTATATAACAGTTGTTTTCGCGTGACAGATAAAATTGATTTATTAAATGTGATCGGAATATAAAGTCGGCAACACCATTATTTATAACGGTCGAATTCAATAAGTTTAGGTTTTTCAATCGCGTGTTCTGCATACTTTCCTGTATTTTTCTTCCCTTTTCAAAATAATAAAAAAGAATCTGAAAACAGGTAAGCATATCGTTGTATGCAGAAAAATGCCGCTAGAAACATGACGTAGCATAACGTTTGTAATTTAAATGTCGGCATTCCAATCCAATTACGCAATTGTTTCGTGCACGCCGGCTTGCAGTGTCGGGACACGTGGAATTAAATCGTAGCTCGAGCGAGTCGAATGAATGAACAAAGCCACGAGGTTTCGTATAGACAGGACACGAGGGGGGTGCATGGGGAAAAGCGGGGGGGGGGAAGATGGTTTTCGCGTCTCGTTTTTTATATTGGAAAACGATATATAAAACCGAACGTCTCGATTACAGCACGATCTGGTTCTATCAGCATCGGCACTCCTATTACACCGTCGACTACGTCACGGCGTCATATCTCCTGCGGGAAGAGCGGGATATCCTGTTAAATCGATAACAGAATGATGACAGAACCACGTACTGCGGCATGCGACTTGTACCAAGCCGCTCCTGTTCCTATTTCGGCATTCGATATTCGAAGCTGGCATGCCTAAGGAGTACGCGTCGTCACATCGCGTCAGGATATCGTCGCTGCTGTCGTGATCGTCGTGCGGTCGCGCGCGCGGTCTTTTGTTTCTCTTTTACATCCTCCCCCCCGTCCAGGCAGGCCTGGGATACGATACGTAAATGGCGCAGGAAGTTCCCGAGACGGCGTACGAACCGGAAGCGGAGGAGGATGCGAGGAGAAAGCGCGAGCGCCGAGTTGTTCAGGAGGGCACGGCGCTGTGGAGGCGACGGAAGGAGGAGCTGCAACGTCAAAAGCACCGCGAGCAACGTGAAGTATGTGTCACACAAATGGGCGTTTCTGGTTTAGCCACGTTGCTGCCGTTTATGCCACTTGCCCTACGGCCCCGACCGCCCCCTTAACGTCATTGTTTCGCCTTGCTATTGTTACCGATCGGATAAGGGATCTACTGAGAGAGATACGGTCCCGGGATATATTCGGTGAACCGGAACGTCATTAAGGGACGAAGACGCCCAGACTTTGGAAATTAATCCAGGCATCGCAGGCGATCGAGGCATTAAACTCCGAGGCAAGATGTCGCGTTCTATTTTGCGCCTGAATCATTCGTTAGAAATTCAATATTATATTTTTACATTTACGAATCGTCTAACGTTATATCATGAGATAAGGGGAATAAATATTCTATCGTGTTTAATCAGCGTGTACTGACAATCAAGCGAATAGAAGCTGCTTTTTAGCAGTAGATTCTTGAAGCGCAGTCAGTGCTACTTGCAATGGAATTAAATATTTAAGAGCAACATTTCCGAAATGGAAATTATCTGAGAATACTGATGGAATATTTAGTATCGGATGACCTTTTTTCGCTTTATTACGAATGCGTTTTTGAAGAAAACTAATTCAAATACACTATCTGACCTAGTTGCGTTTATTTCTACGTTTTGCGAGGCGAGTCGTTGAATTTGGAGCGGGAAATTATGTGCAAACGAACGGTAATAAAGCTATCCCATTAAAGTGAATTTGCATAATCTCCGACTAACTGTCTTAAGAAACAAGCCGCAAAAGATAACCCAATAATCTATCACGGTCTCTCCTCGCGCGCTTTACATAAACTGCATGCCTCGTCCCTCGTGCTTGTTACAAACTTGTAACAAACGTTGTACAGCTCGTTAAGTGTTAAGGTCGTATAATTTCCGAAGTGATCGTGAAATTGAATCGTAATTATAAATAGGATCGAGTCTTCCATCGAATGTTTAAGAAAATTTCCACGCACATTTCTGGAAAATCTACAAACGCGATTAAATATTAAGATAATTTACGGGGATTATATTATATCAATTATTCTTGTAACAATATTTTCTTTTAAATGTAAAAAACTAATGTTTTTATAACATTTTTTTTCCTTTTAACTAATTTTTTTTATAGCATACGCATTATATTTTTTACGCCAATTATATTATATAACAGTGTTTAAAATCTCGCTATCTGGGCTCGCATCCTCCCCATTTTTATTTTGGTATTGTCGCAACATAACGATGATGCGCAATCATCATCTAAATATTTGCAGGACACGCTCGTTACATTCATTACCATCCTCTGTGAAAATAACAATCCGCATGGAATATATTGTAAAAATACACATATATGTATGTGCGTTATTCAATTCAGCGTAATACCTGTCGCGTATACTTTGTCCGTCGCGTCGTTTTCAATCACTCAAAATACATGTCGAAATTATACCGATGAAAATCCCAATTATTGCTTCGGTGATTATTTCGTATCGTTAATGCAACACGCCGACCGTATTAAATTGTATTTACACGCGTATGGGGGTTTCGGAATTTATCGCGTAACCGGTATGCTAATAAAGACAGGCCGAGGGATTACTCGCGGTCCCATCTCTCTTATTACTCGGGAATCTGGTGCAGCCGCGGTCTGGTGCAAGTGCACGCGGTTGAATGCAAGTGCGTTAGCAATGTTGGGGCAAGGAGGGCTGATACACTCGGAGTTAATCCTACCTGCCCGCAGGGTTGTCGGTATAATCGTACTGACGTTAAACGCTCCTAAACCAGGAAAAGGCTCGAATGATTTCTTCTCCGAGCGCAAAGGTCATCTTCAACTGCGTCACGCTGGACGTTGCATTTCGATTTATTGCGAACGCGATAGCGGTTATCTCCTCGCCAGTACCAGTTGTGCGCGCTGTGCCTCCGCGTACGTTTGTTACGAAATTCCTGAGAACTAGTGAGAATTTAATTTAAAAAAATTCTTTGTTTTATTACGATTTTTATTTTGTGCAATGGAAAAATTCAGCAGACAATTCACGCCAAATGTGTGATTCGCGCGAGAACGGCCCGCTGGTCGGAGCTGGATATTCCGCGCGAAATGTAACTGTAGTAGCTCCGAGTGATGTTCACATAGCTCAGCTGCAACGACTCCACCACGTTCTTAATTCTTTTTCCCTTGCAGCTGCAGGAAATTCTGGCCAATTACTCGCCGTGGGGTAAGCCAGGTGGCGGCGCGCCCTGCGCGGCCACCCTAAGGAAGAGAAACGTGCCCCTGGAACCGCCCGAGCTGCCAAGATGCCACAGTTTCGGTCAGGTAAAGCCGAGAGAACGTAGCCGTCATTTTTCTTTTCGTCCGTTCACCCTCGTCGCGAAACTTTGTCCCCATAAGTCCGATCCGGCCGGTGATTGCATACACGTTACTTGTCTCTGAAAACTTTCAAGCTTGTCTACGCACGTCGGCGTTTACATGCATGAGTAAGATTTGTCGCCGCGTTTTTAATGCTTTCGAGCATCGGTGTTCCCGAGCCGACGATTTCCTGGGGGCAAATGGGAGTTGAATAGCTCGCGAGAGAACTTGGAGTTGAAATGGCCGCGCGTCATACTGTCATGAACGAATGAATGTGAAAACGAGTCGTGAAAACGAATGAAAAAGTCTCCGTGGACTTTCTCGATATGTAACTTCGGTATGCATGTCGTAAGAAAATTGCGATGTAATCACAAAAAAGAAAAGAAAGATTTCGCTACGGCTTATATTTGTAATGCATTTTGCATTTTTGCAGCATCTAGATCAGTTTCTCGTAAAGTATAACGAATTCGTTATTTCTTGTAAGAAAATCATATTGAAATTGTGGTGCACGGTTACGAAAATCGCGTATGTTCAATTTTAACGTACGCATCTCGATTGCTCAGCAACAGAATTTACGTACCGAGTTATTAAATCTGTGCGCGGTATACATGTATAAACATGTGTGGTCATGTATAAAACACACAAGCCAGGAAACAATATCACGCAACGTTGTATACCGTGCAAAGTTTTCAGGCAGTCCAGTTTGTAATACAGTGCACTTTGGTACACACATTAGAATATTCTGTCTGACATTTAAAGGACAACCAATGGTGAAGTCTTATCGATTTATTTTCACTTTCTAACAATAGCAATAATTTCTTAATTTTTACTTTTTTGTAAAATTCCATTATATTCTAACATAAATATACTCTCTATATATAAATATACTCTCTATAATCACGTTTAACGTATTATTATTATAACGTATTATTTTTGTAGTAGTAAATCATCAAAAATTGTGATACTTTAATTTCCTCTCTTAATTTGTTAAAATAGTATAAAGTAGTACGACTTTTTCGAATATTTATTGAGAATTTTAAGAATTTTAAAATTTATTTTAAAATTGAATTTTTTTTTTTATTGTTCATATTATTTGGTGGATTTGTAAGTAAAATATGGTTTATTTAATATCTGGGAAATCTTGAAAATCACGAGACGCTCTCTCTAAAGTAATGTATGACACAATTGCGTTATTATCCACCCTGAATTCATGTAAGTAATGATTATTGTGCAATTCACTGAAAGCGCAGTGAGATTTTCTCCTGCTGCGGCATGATAATTTCGATGTCCGTATCCATCATCCGAATAAGAGCTTAATGCAATCATATGCAGGATGATTATTCTTAATGCATCAAGTGATAAATTTGCGGATTATGTAATTAAATCTCTTTATTCTTTCTTTCTTTCAACCGCAGATAGATGATGACACATCTGCCAGACTTAAAATTTACATATATTTATTTTTGTAGTAGTAAATTCGTTATCTATCTTTTTCACATTATATATTATAGATTATATATAAATATGTTATTAAAATATATATATATATATTTTTCTTGGTTCTTTTTGTGAAACGAGTTTCTAGCATGCACTTATGTATGTTGTTATTTAAATATATTTATGTGAATTTAATTTTATTTAATACATTGTTTATTTTTATATTAAGAATGTGACTTTATAAAGCGCTTCACAAAGCGCGAAATTTTTTATAAAGAAATTACTAATTTATTTTATGTTTATGCGAATGGAGAATTTAATTCTATTCTGAAAATGCTATCTACGATTTTTTTAAAATGAATGTCTCGAAAATTAATACTTCTTTACATGATGTGTTCATATTTCATAGATGAACAATATAGGTATAGATAGAATTAATCTCTGACAGAACAGAAGAAAAATGTCCGTGGAATTCACCTCGCTTGTTGTTTTGATTAAACGAGCTTTGTATTTCCATGCAAATTTCCATACGTTTTCTTTACCGTACATAAATGTATGATTGTATGCAATTTTTTGTTCCGCATAATTTATCAAAAGAAGAAAGAATTTTACATATTTTTCTGATTTCTTAAGCACACGTTAAGATGAAAAAAAAGTAAGCTCTTATATGAGACAAGAGTATAACATATTTTCAAATGAAAATGTTAGTGTTCTTAATATTTTTTTCAATTTGCTAGAAAATCGAAGAAATATTGGCAATACAATTTGCATTTATTAATAATTATTCACATATATTAATAATTATAATATTTTTATCTTTAGCAAATCTTTGAATCTTTGAAATTGTCATAATGTTTAGTGCATGTGAAACTAAATTACAAATGCAGTTACGAATTGAATTGTTACTAAAGCAACGAAAACTTTTACTATTTATATACTCGTTACGTAATCATGACATTTGTGACGTTTAAATATTTCAAAACTTATTTAAAAATAAAAATGTATATAAAAGTTTCTATGCATTTGTTTCAGAGCGCTTCTCTCGATAGAAAAAACTTTGTTCTATTTTCTATGGAATGTAATTGCAAATTAGAAAAATAGTGGCCAGTCGCTTTTACAAAATTCGTTTTAAATTCGCGTTCGCACAGCTGGGGAAAAACTTTCGTTCGCTTGCGTGTACATCGCCAATTAGATTTGCATCTTTCTATGTTTGTGATCGTTATAACCGCGCAATATATCGCCGGTATGCGAATTCGTCGCTTCAAACGGCGTTTCTCCGCTCTCCCATAAAATTTCATACAAAGGTAAATTACGACATGTGACTACTCCCGATCCTCGACGGCGACGCGAACTGCTTGGCAGACGTTGCGCTTGGAATAGCATAATAGCAGAAGTCGCCTGTATTACTGCACCGAATATTGCAAAGGCAGCACGTAGAGGGATTTCTACGCTGGAGAAATAGGATGAATGGGATGAAGAACACGCCCGATGTTGATTCGATTCGGTCGTAATCAACGTTAAGGGTCAACCGCCCACCGGTACGAGCTAACTCTCAAAAGATTAACTTTGACTCGGATTAAATAAATTCTCTTTCTTTCGTACATAAAATGAAACGTTACAATTTAAGAAAAAAAAAAGAATAAGATATTAATTCTTTTATCGACGTTTAAATTTTAATTGATTTGAACTCTACATAATACAATTATTGATACCAAGTAGAATCATTCCGAAAGTTTTTTGTTAAAAAGTTGCAGAAAGCAGTATAGATAAATGAAACAGTTGTTTAAACATTCGAATCAAGGATTAATAATAAGGGAACCTGTGTATCTTTGTTGTGAGCTTTCATTTCTCGAGAAATTACGAATAAACTTAGATCAAGATTGAAATAGTCATGTTCACTCTGACAACGAATTATGCAACATGTGAATAATACTCACTCGCACAATTTTATCATTCTTGCATGTACATCGATCAAAAGCGACGATATCACCGTCGCCTCGTCAGCGTAAGTTTCCATTAATATCTCATCTGACCTCATACACACGATACCTTCCCGATACCGCAGACACGAAGTTTGTATTGCAACGTCATTATGTGAATACATGGGACACGCGATGACGTGTGAAGCTTAGCACAAACAGGTCTCACTTTATATAGAAAGCTTGAAACTGCTAATCTAAATGGCATGTAGGTCAAACGTCATTATCCTGTAATTTTACATTTGTAAAAGTTCGTTCGTGGATTGAAGAAATTGAGGAGACGACGAAAAAAGAAGAGTAATTTTAATCGCGAGTCGAATTAAATATAATATTAACTAATTAATTGATGTATCCATGTTAATTTGTAATAGTTAAAGCTGAATGTCTATGAGTAACATTTCTATTTGATCGAACTTTATATTCGTGATTTCTTTCATTAAATAAAAAATGAACATTTTTTAGTAGAAATATTTATATGATCTTATATTTCTTTATTAAGTATTAAGAGATCATATTAAAAGATGATTTCTTTTTAATTAAACATAATTTTTTCAATTTTAAATATGAATTCTCAGAATTCTCGACAAATTCTATTAAATGTTTTTGCATTTTCATACATATTGCGGATATTTTTGTTAATTTTTTTTTATCAATCTGAAAAACAAACTTGTAGAAGCGAAATTTTCGAGATAATCGAAATCGGAAAAGGATGCTGCGATTTTTTTCACTTGTGGACGTCGCAGCTATATACAAATGAGTTGAGCTTTATTGTACGACATGGTATCGACTCGTCATGCCAGCAAATGCGAGAAATCTCGTAATGGACTTTCCTTGTATGTTGGACACGAGGCATTTTTCCCGTGGCAATAATTTCGAGAGAGCGGCTGTGCCGCCGGGGCCGAACACGTCGTATCCGCTCGAACTCGAGACGTATAGTCGATTTCTCCGATCACGTAGAACTAGAAACGCTACTTCCACAAAGTCGATTCTCCGCTGCCTACGGGCTCGCCGTGAAATTTTTGACGCATCGTATATGGAATCGCGAAAAGGAAACGTTTTAACGACACCGTCGTGTAAAACAGGTTTTTCTATTTAAGCGAAAACCCAGAACGCGCAAGCCTGTCGAATTTTTTCCCGAGCTATGAAATAGGAAATAGCTTTGAATGCTTTAAGTGTTTCTCGCCTTTTTTGCCTCTTTTTTTTTTCCTTTTTGCAGCGCAACGGTGGTATTTCGGTGTATGTTTTTCCAGAGCGCAGAGAAGGAACGTCGCGCAAGAGTGCGCGATAACTAACGTAAATGTATTATTCGCCATCCCAATTTTGCGTAATGCGAGTAACTTCGCGATATTACTACAAAAATCGATTACGTTCCGTAGTTAGTTATACTAATCCGGCTTACATATGTCTAAGCAGATTAAGCTAAACTGCTCTGTTCGAGCCAGCGGACTATCGAGAATCCGCGGACTCATAAAATATCTACTTGCGCTATTGTTTCGTCCAAGCTGGCTATTTCGCGGAACAAGGCTGGGGAACAATCGATCTCGCGGTCGT